TTTAATGTTGAGTTCCATAGTAAGTCCAAATAAAGAGTTTTTAGAACTTTTTTCAGTCGATTTGCGCGCGCATGCCTCGAAAATGATTCGACAGATTTCAATGAAATGATAATAATTTTATGCGCAACTTATATTCTGACTTGAGACTAGGTTAAACTCTATTGAGTAGATCTTAATATTCAGTAAGCTTATCGTACTTCACTTTCTATGCAATGAGAAAGCTATAAAGAAGTGGCAAACGAATTTCAAATAAATATACAAAAACACCTACATTTTACATAAAACATAATATTACTTATTTATGTTGTAATTTGCATTATCTATAAATATTTCAGTAACGGCATAATATTATAATACCTAACCGAAAAAGGTTTGATAGCCGCACGAGGTGAATGTTTGTATCGATCGCACAGATGATTGTGCCCGTGACCCCTCTGGGTAACACAGTTCTTGGGTCTTCTCCTATAACACATTCATTTTGGATACTTGTAAACTGTGTGCAATTTGCAGTCTAATTACCCGATTATGGAAAAAAGGAGGGTTATTTATTATTATATAATTTACTGAACTGAGTATGATATGTAGTATGTACCTACATAATATTATTAGATACGTTTATTATAAACTAGCATTCCCCGCCTCTCCGCTCGCGTTCAGATGACCAAAAACCAAATTCTTAGTATACTCTTACATTGCAGTTTTTGTATTTTTTCTCAGAAATGAGACATTTTCCCGCGGTAAAAAGTATCCTATATGTTGACCCGGATAACCAGCTATCACAATACCAAATTTCATCAAAATCCCTCCAGTGGTTTTTCTATGATGAGATAACAGACAGACAGAAAGACAGACAAAAATTCTAAAAACTATAGATGCGGCCTGTGTATCGATAATAATGTTTATTTAATGTACAGATCAGCTTACAATTTTATTATATGTATAGATAATAATATATAAAACTTAGATTATTTATATGTTAATAACCTAAGGTATAAAGTTTGTTTCTAATCAGTCGTCAACTAATATAGATGTTAAATGGTATGACTTGTGGACATTGAACACGTTTATTTTTGGACTTTGGAATCAATTTCATTGTGGGTAATTTTACTGAGTGAAGCACTTTTTATACGACCGTGCCGTTTCATATGTATATTTAATATGTGCATTTGTTAATAGATTGGAATAAAACATATTCTATATCCATTCTTTTGTTAAGATAAGTTTTAAATTAAAATGGATATGGTATGTTATCCTTAAGAGATAGACTTTTCTGTAGACCTATATAAGATACACAATTCCACCATACATTATTTTGTTATATCTCAAAGGGTTTTCATTGAAAGCTCCCAGACGGCTTATTTTTTTCCGACACCTCCAACAAATATTGTTATATTTCAGCCAATAAATACAAAAACTTAACAAGTTATATGCTAAAACCTTCCTCGAGAACCACTCTATACATTGGTGAAAACAGCATGAGAATTGGTGCAGTAGTTTTTGAGTTTATTGCAAACAGACAGACAGACGCGGCGGAGGACTTTTGTGTTGACCAAACATAAAAAGTGCAGGTTTTTAATTATAAAATTATGCTAGCGTTTACCCGCTGCTACGACCCCATTGCTAATATTGTATTACTAGCGACTTAACCTCCCATCGCTCGGGTGCGTCCCTATAAAATATAGGTGCCTAAAACTAACCTAAAAGTTACTCCAGCTCATAGTTTATCTGCGTACTAAATATCCAAATTAGTCCCGCCGTTTTAGGTAACAAACATTCACACATACTAACTTTTGCAATCATAGTAGTAGTCGGATGGCTTCGCTAAGTCTAAAATCGAGATAGTGTAAAGATTCAGAAATGAACAGGTTTTCCAGATATTCCAACGTACAAGAAAATCAACTCTTTCGCTTTAAATTTTGTATATAAAATAATAATAATAATAATAAAGGATTACAGCTAGTAAGGAATAAAATAAATATTTTTATTAAGCGATTCCACGGCAATAAGTCCCATGTCAGAATGAGTTTAGGTGTACCTACTTAATTTCACAATATGATACTTAAGTTCTTATCTTAAGATATATCTAAATATAAGATTTACCTATTTCATATACCGAAAGTTATTTTTGCAACTAATCTAAAAAATAACACTTAAGTATATCTTCCGCATGTCCATCTTTGGACAATGTAGCTGAAATTCAGAAAGTTCTTCCCATTTACATTGTATATAGGTACGTCCATAAAGACTGGTCGATCTGAAATCTGAGATGCGAGTACAGTTAGTAACGTTAGTTTATTCAATTATTTTCGTTTTCCATAGTACCTTATAAAAACTTAAAAATTATGAGCTTACTTTAGGAATTTATAAAACATATTATGTATTAAATACTATTTTTGCGTTGAATTTGATATTAGTTTTAATAGAATATAATTTAGTAAAACTCATATAACGTGGGTCTGATAAAAGTGGACTCAAAATGACACGTTATGTACGTGTGGATCCAAAATAATTTTATATGTACGTAATAATAATCTTCATGTATAAAATACTTAACTTAATGAATATATCTAATGTATGTAAGTTCTTACAAAACATAGACAGAAAATAATATAACAATATATATTTTTACATACATAGTATATTCAAATCATGTCATTTATTAGTGATTGTTTCAAGTCTCTCAACACAACTATTGTTGAAGATTTGAATGAAAGATGTCAGCAAATCCAGTATCTTATTGTCATATAAGTATATATATACCTACTTACATGTATTGTGCATTCGTGGCCTAAATAATGTACGTACTTATTTACATAACGTTTCATAGAAACAAAAGGTAAGTATATTTTATATCTACTTTACTCGTACATTATTTACTTATTATTGTTTAACTCTTGTGGTTTATATTTGCAGTTTATTTTTAAATGACCTCAAAGAGAGTAATGTTTCTGAGATCTGTTTTCATTTATAAATAGATAGTAACAAAGAAAACCCTGCGTAAGGATGATACACAAAATTGTGAGATTTACAAATTGTTTCCAACCTTTATAAGCGTCTACAAAAAATATTTGTATACCCGTGCTTGTCTTTGTGAATCGATTTTGAGCTTTATTTTTTATTGCATTTGATTTTAAGGTGATCTCATATAAACAAGAATATCTTCAGCCCTGATTTAAGTAATTAAGGATTTTTTGTTAAGAGTAATTATTATTGGACGGATATAAAGATAATTAATTAAAATTATAATTCTTGGTATATTAAATTTATTACTTTTTAAAGAAATATCTGACCTCTTGGAAAAAATCTAACTATAAACGTGAATCTTTGTAGTGGCTCTACGTCTATTTACAAAATGAGTTATTTTAGCTGTGAGATTTGTTAGATTTAGAAACGACGCAGAACTGATTTATAATGCTAATATAATCTTTAGCTTAAAATCTTTTCATTTTATAAGCTAAATACATACATATGTAAATTAAGATAAGTACAATATTAATGTCTTAGTAATATGTATTGAAAGGGTCATTGTGTTATCGGTTAAATAGCCTTGACTTTTATCGACATAAGTTACATATACCATACGTTGAGTACGCAAGCAGCTCACTAACTTATCCACATAGTCGATACATATAATAAAATTGTAACTAAGCCGAATCTGATATTTTTTGGAAAATGATAATAATAATAATACTTTATTTCACAAAAATACATACATATTGTAGTTGAAAAGCATATTGAACAGTACATTTGAAACAAATAATTTAGACTATCAATACAAATAATACGGTTGTCTCTGCTGCCGTACTAGGAGACCTGTATTACGGCATACAGTGCCAATCCCCCAAAATATTGTCAGAATTAAAATTATCTATTTAATATGCGAGTGTGCCATTTTGAGCTGTTGGTTGGTGCTATATGTATATGTGTATGTGTCTGTGATGGGTGTGTGTGTTAATGTAAAAATCTTATTGAAATAAACATTATTATCGATACAGAGGCCGAATCTATAGTTTTAAGAATTTTTGTCTGTCTGTCGGTCTGTCCAAAATACAAAAACTGCAATGTAAGAGCATACTAGTATGTAAAACCTAAGAATTTGGTGTTTGGTCATCTGAACGCGGGCGGCGCCGCGGGCATTGCTAGTCAAGTATATATTTAAAATAAGTTTGTATTTCTTTTCTATTCAGTAGTTTTAAAATCTCAATTCTCTAAGTACTACTCAACATATTTTCACTAAAACAATTTTTAGTATTTTCAGATAACACATGATATTTGTTGAGGTACATAATATGTAGCTATTTATTCAGAAGTTTTTACAACACGCTATACAATTTAGAATAATAAATTGAGCGACTATTGACTGAAAACTTAATAAAAAAAGTCGATAAGAAAGGTATATGCTATTTTTAAAAACCCAACTACAGATCCTATTAGGTTTTATATTTATTCTTTATACTCGGTTATATGTAAGGGTTTTGTTTTTTTCTTTAGTCACGAAACCTTAAAAAGAGCCTTCTCACATACCTACTAAGGGCAAAAAAAATAGCGGCATTATAATACCTACAGTACTAACCTGCAAAAGAAAAGAAACGAAAAGTTACCTCGAATCCATATATATGGAAATCTCTACTAATATTATAAAGAGGCAGAGTTTATTTGTTTGAACACTAAAGCGCTTATCTCAGGAACTACTAATCAAATTTGAAAAATTATTTTTATACATATCTATATATAGGCTATATATATCATCATGCTACTACTACCCAAGGGCGCGAGAGCAGTAATATAATATTTTAGTCTATCTATTCCATACCAACCGTTAAAACGTACCTAGGGACGAACCCGAGCGAAAGGAGGGTGAGCCGCTAGTGTAAAATATTATAATTAGGCCCCAAATATATGTAGTTATTTTGTAGATTGAATACAAGCTAATTCCTATATAATTGATTTAAGATATTATGAGTGCTATTTGGTTAATAGGAAGGTGATAAGGACACGAGATGCCTGTGCTACGCAACGCTGATCACCCTGCTTCGAAGGCCACTGACTCGGTGGCCACGCGGTATGGCGTTGCAGTGCTCGGTTCCTGGGCGGCTGAATCTGGTAAAGCTATAGGCTACAATCGAATTTACTTTGTTATCGTATTTCTGTGCACTTAAACGAACTATAATAAATGCGAAAGATTATATACCGATGTATGTTTGTGTGTAGGTATGTTTGTTACTCATCCACTCTGTAAAGGTTGGACGAATTTGGATGAGATGACCTAGAGCAAAACATAGGAGCTATTCTTAAGCGCCTTGGGACGCACACGACAAGGTGAACGCACGTTGGGGGGGACAACCTTGGGACGCACCTGAGCGAAGCGAGAATAAGTCGCCAGTAATCGATATATTGGAACAACTTTTTCAGATATATAGAGTAACTTTAGAGTATGAAGAAAGTAGTTAATAGATATGCTGTAAAACTGAAACGATAAAAATGCCACCATTATTTGCATATCTTTATTTGTTTCTTATCTCCTTGAACATTGCAAACGAAGAACTTAATTTGAATAGCGTCGGTACTTCATAGATTGTAGAGAGCCTTTACCTTGGCGTGAGAACGATGAAAGATCTCTTATTGCATTGAATCCGACTTCCTCAGAATGTAAATACCCATTGTAAATTTTTAAGTGGAAAGTAAATTACTTTTGGAGACAAATAAGTATCATGACGACTTAGATAATAATTTATACAAAATACGTACATACTTATACGTACATACAAGACAAAGCTTTAATCCAGAAAAGTATCAACGAAATCTCATCTTCATGTTAATTTTCGTATTACGACAACGAAAGGTTCTGAAGGATTATTGATTTTTTGTTGTTGTTCAATTATATTTATACATATATTAAATCGCGGGTATCTGATAGTTTTTTTTTATTTCTACAGCTACATATCCGTTTGACTTAACAAAGACAAGACTACAAATACAATCGGAAGTGGCCGCCGCTAAACATGGATACAAGGTAATAATAACAATAAACACGAGGAATAAAAATAAGCTTGATACGCCTAGATTTCAACTCCAAAAGGTGATTCATGGGCTTGAGTATACGGATATATAATAATATTCCACAAAATGTCCTAGTGTACCTTTTCAAAAATTTAAAGTTTAAATTCAAGTTTCTTGTTGATGAAAGTGTGTGGAATTGAGTGATATTGACTCACATGCGGGCTATCTATAATGTTATGTTAATAAAATAAGTGTAACTTTGATATTTAAAAGAGCAACTGTTGAGTTTTTCGCCGGTTCTTCTCAGCAGAACTGCTTTCCGAGCCGGTGGTAGCTTCCTCACGGACTGACTACATTGACGCTTTCATTAGATTGACGATTCAAAAGCACTTGTAATAAGTCTAATTTAATAAAGTTTATTTCATTTCATTTCATTAAAAAATAAACAACATACAATAGTTAAATAACAAGAATTTTAGTTATTTTCTATAAATAAAGCAGGTAAATAAAATGTCTCTACTTATAAATATGTTCATTAAAATTACCTTAAATTATTTTCTTTAAAATGTTATTTAATATCTTGACGCTTTGTAATAATATTATGATGTAATGTCGCAGATGGAGAATCACGGGATGATAAAAACAGCTGTTGGCATAGCGAAGCAGGAAGGCGTGTTGAAGTTGTGGAGCGGACTGATGCCAATGTTTCAGCGTCACGCTATATACTCTGGTTGCCGACTTATATTCTACGAACATTTCCGCAATACGTTAAAAGACGCTAATGGGAAGGTCTCGTTGGGAGCTGCTTCTATAGGTAAGGAAATGCCTTGAAGCCGGTTCAAAATTTGTTAAGTTCAGGTAAATAGTCGATTTCTAACTGATAACCTGGTTAATGTTAGCTGTTAAAATTCTTAACATGAATGTAGAAGTAAAAAGAATCAAATTAAAGAGTATTATGAAATATAAGATGTAAAATAAACGATAAGTAATATACGATTGTGTTTGTTATCAGCTGAGTGAAGATAAAAAATATGAGACGTTGAAATACGAGTATGTTCTTACTCTATTACAGTTGCGCTGAAAACTGGTGTTATATACCTAAATGTTAATAGCAATATTGACAAAATATATTATTATTATAAGTTGGCATATTATGCCAATAAAAATTAATATATTTTTTCTGCCATAGTAAACAGCTCGTTATAATGATCAATAACAGCTTTATACTTGATATTCCTAGGTTTCTCATCAATAACTGGCTTGTATTCATTGTTAGCTCTTAGATTATTTATATGTATAATCTAAGTGTTAGCTATTAATTTATTAAACATAATTTTTCATTTATTACTATTTGCTCGATAGAAATGTCTTCGTACGAAGTCCATATAATTAATCTGTACTAATATGATAAAGAGGAAAGATTTTTTTGTTTGTTTATTTGAATGATAATCTAACTGGTTTTGCTAACTTATTAACTTAATTATTTCTTGTCATATCTATCTACAGGGCAATACGTCACGATCCCGTTATAGGGTTATAGTACAAAATTTGTAACATTAGCTATCAAACCACCCCAAAATGCTTATGCAAAAGTGTATCGTTTTCGAGTTATTATTATTTTTTCTTCTTTTATAGGTAAAGGGGGGTTTGAACTTTAAAAATTAATTTAAAAAAGAACAATGTATTTAATCATATATATTTTTATTCCTTGCTGGTGCACATCCTTGTTAATAATAACCAGTAACCAAACAAAAAAAATCTTCAAGCATTTTTAATTAGAGCTCCAAAACTGTAAATTACAAATCATAAAATAATAAAATTAATTTAACATCTTTGAATAACTTGCAAATTTTCTGTGAAAATCCTTATAACACTTATCCTGCCGATCATTTTAAAAATATCTACGTATCGTTAGCTATCCATCAGTACATAAAAGTTAGGTACAAAAAGATTCGTATGATTCTATACATAGGTATATGAGCTGTATAGCTGTCTCTCTCCTTTTTAATCGGGGACGAACCCGAACGAAACGAGGGTGAGTCGCTAGTTATATTATATATTATATATTTGGTATAAATTGGTGCTTTTCATAATAGTATATATAACACTGTAATTATTTTTGGAAGTCACTCTCAAAATCTCATAGGATTCTATTTTACTATCGATGTAGACACCAAAAATAATGATTAAGTATGTATTGTATCTTGATGTTACTTAAAACGCATTTTGCACGTTTTCTGGGGCCTTGTAAAATATGGTATATGTTTACAGACGTTGTTGATGAAAACAATTATTATCTCTAGGTTTCTAATAACTTGTAATACCTATGACAGGTTTTACACATACATATCCTGTCATAGGTATTACAAGTTTTTTTTTGTTTAATTAATTATGTTTATAAATTTTAAAGATATTTGTTAAATGCTTAGTATTGTTGTTGACAATGAACGACTTCTTAACATTTTCGACGCTTTTCTTCCTTGTGTTTCTTAATATTGTAATAACATTACAAATTGAAAATTTATTGTGACATGCTACAAAATACTAAAGCAGTTTACAGTGGTTTAGTGTATGGTGTTTATTATGTCATAACAGGATAAATCTTATTTTCAGATGAAATAAGGCAATTTTAGGAAAATTTCCACTATTAAAACTACTATTTATTTAATTTACATCAAAACAAATTCTTACAAACGTTTAATATATTTTTGTTATAATTAAAGAAAAAAATTACGCTTTTCCCTATATCAATCAAATGTAATTGTTTTTAGAAATTATAACATAGTATTTTGCTTATGATGTAGACATAGAAAATATATTTTCTCCATTTGTCTATGTTACTCTCTGTGTCTCGTCTATGTAGAGAGATAATATATGCTTAAGAAATATAAATTTGCATTATATTATTGTTTAAATAGCCTCAAACTTAATAATACAATTGAATTCGGCAGGCGGTCTAGCAGCAGGCTCTCTAGCGCAGCTGATCGCTTCACCGACCGACCTCGTCAAAGTACAGATGCAGGCAGAAGGCCGAAGGATAATACAGGGCAAGCCACCGCGCTTTGCCAACTGTCGACAAGCGTACGCGATGCTCTACGCTGAATCTGGCCTTTTAGGTTTTTGGAGAGGTAAATTTAATTATTAAATATTTATCTATTTATGTAGAACTATCTTATTAAGAAATTAAATTATTTTAAGCTATATTTACGCCATAGGTCCAACAAAGGTTAAAAGCAGATCAAAATCGAGTTCAAGACATATTGTAGTTTTTTTTTCAAAAATGCGTTCCGTAGCTTTTGTGTGAAAGACAAACTCAACAAATTTTCGCGTTTGAACTTATAAAAAAATGTGTTTTAATAATTTTTAACAATCCAATATAACATAATAATTAATTTAACTTTTGAAAACCATTCAGGTGCCGTACCAAATGTCCAACGAGCTGCACTAGTCAATATGGGAGATTTAGCAGCTTACGATTATACTAAACAGTTCCTAATAAGAGAGTTTGACATGACGGATTCAATTCTCGTTCACGCGCTGGCTGCCTTCACCGCTGGCTTTGTAGCAGCAGTTGTGGGTACACCAGCAGATGTACTTAAAACGCGCCTTATGAACCAACCAGTGGGACCAGATGGAAGGTAACTGCAGCCATATAAATAATAAAATTGTAACTAAGCCGAATATGTTAATTAAATATTATTCAGAATATCTTAATGAAATAGACATTATTATTGATACAGAGGTCGAATCTATAGTTTTTTGAATTTTTGTCTGTCTGTGACCGCATCACAGACAAACTACTGGAGGGATTTTGATGAAATTTGGTATAACGATTGGTAATCCGGGTCAACATATAGGATACTTTTTACTGTGGGAATATAGTTCATCTCTAAGAAATCTATACTAAACATTAAAACGTAAGTAGGGACGAACCTAAGTGGAGCGAGGGTGTGTCGCTAGTACATAAATAATACTGTTTTATTGACAAACAAGAAAAGAGGTGGAAATTTATCTAAAATATTTTAAGGTATGTTATTTAAAGATTTATCATTTAGTCATTTGATATTATGCGCTGTGCATTCTAATCATATCCTTCACGAAATCAAAGGATACGCACTCCGAACAGTGAACACTCGTATGATAGTGATTTTTGGTTATAATAAGCTCACAGATTTAGGCTTTAAATCTGTAATTATTCCGCTAGTTTCAAATATTCTCTATAGATAAATAAAATACATATAACAAAGTATTTTTTTTTTCATATTTGAAATTGAGACACAATAATGATATTTTTACTTTTTTTTTTATAAATATTTATACTATTAGTACCTATATGTTATTTCATTTAAAATAATACTTACGTTTAAAAACTGTGTATACTATAAAATCATCATAAAATTATTTAAATTGGCGCTGAATATATATTTTATTTGAAAATAAATTTTAATATTACATTGTTTACGTCTTAGGTACATTGTTTTATTAAAACTCCCAGCCATGAACGAATGTCTCTAATTCGTTCATGCTCCCAGCATAGTAGCGACATCTACTACACTCTACAGTCTACAGTACTATTGTGTTCCACACGTGTTGTAATAATTTTATTTAGCTTATTATTAGTAACTTTTACGTACGTATTTACCAAGGTATTTACGAAACTTTTGTACTGCCGTATCTCCAGGCTAATGTCAGTGCGGTGCTTATGTGATCTACTGACCTACATTTTGGAAATCAATAGCGGTGTAACTGTTCATGTTAGCTATTATGATCATGAGCTTTAACTAATCCATTATCCATCCTATGTAACAACAAGTTGCTATGTTAATATTCTTGCTGTCCATATTATTCTTAATAGCTTTTCTCTCCACATCATAATTAAATATTTAAATAGTAGAGTGAACCTTGAAGCAGATTAGGTATCTTATTTAAGTTCTCTGATAAAATTTGAATATTGTTTCATTGTTATTTCCTTGTTATGTCACGAGTCCATATAAAAATACTGAAAAATGGCGGCTGCATTATAAAGTCAATAAACCGTCTAGTAAACGTATTTAGAGAATTGTTGCCACAACTTTAACAGTTTACAGTACATAGGCTATGTTAAGTAGGTTGGTGCGTTCAAAGCGCGGTCGAGGTCAAATAACGGGGTCAAAGTCGGGACCCGCGCACGCTCAATGTAAATCCTTTCGCTTTCATTTCAAATATTCAAAATACAATTCGATCATGAATATAAAGTAAATATTATGCTTTCTAACTTCTAAGTACCATTTAAATTTGAAATATTCATGAATATAAATTAAATATGCTGGCCTATGCATAATAAAAAACTTTTACTGATTCATACAAAATGCAGGTGCAGTGTCAGGAATTTTTATTTTTTTGTTTTTAAATTTTTGTCTGAATCACAAAAACAGAAAGTCAGAATCTGTCAAGTGTCTTGCTATAAACATATCACATACTCTTTTTTCTCTTACTTGTATGTAGAGATGTGGTCGGGTAGAGATGATACAATGGCTCGTAGTTTTCCCCCACAAAGTGGTTACTTACACAACGTATTATCATTAGACCTTGGAGTAGGTAGAGATAGATATAACAAGGTTTCTCTCGTGTATATTTTTTGTGTATCAATGATTTACATAGTAATTGAACACGCGACCCTATAGTTTATTGCATTGTCACACACATTGTTACTAAGCTGGATGTTTCGAAAAATCTCGAGAATACTAAATTCTTACATATTCCTTTTACTCTCACGTAACAAACAATAAATATAATTTGGTTACATAAAATACAGTACCAAATTGTACAATGTACATTTATGTAATTCAAGAAGCTTTTAAAATAATGGCGAACGAACTGAATTAATAAAAAAAGCTGTTTTCATAATAAATAAAATATGTACTTACATATTCTACACTAGCGACTTACCGCGTCTCTGGGTACTTTTTCACCAGATAAAAATACTTTTACCGAGTGTTGCTCAGGAGATAAGACACATTATTTATTCTATTGCGGACTTTTCTGTAGGCCTTTTTAAGACCTACAATATTCTAGTAGGTATATTGTTTTGATGTCTCTCTTAAGATTTAGCCAATTTTACCCATGGAAACTCGACTGATTCGGTTGTGCTTTCCCGTGGGAATGAAAGATTTTCCTATAGTATAATATATCCTAAATATTGACCCGAGTAATAAGTTTAGTGATAACTTATTTTTAACAAATTTTTTTCGTGAAATGGATACAGATATACAGACGAAAAATTAAAAACTATTGTTTTTGGGATCTACATTCTAGGTAATAGACATTGTTTTTTTTTTAATATTTCATATACAGATTTCGTATTTGTTACTTTTTTATTATACTTATAGATAAGTTCAGATTAGAAACTCTTTTTTTATAATGTAGTGATAAGTTATATATAATATATTGCACTGCTTGCTATCTATACCGATAATATCGGTCGGTGGCTCCATATGATTGGCATGGCTCCTGCGTTTGATATCGCGAGTGGGACCATAGGTATAGATAAATAATCAAGCGTCTTAAGATAAAAGAAATTCCTTTTTATTCTAAAGATACTATTAAAGATATTTTACTCTAGACACCGTATTTATTGACTATTTTGATATTTAATTAAATAATTTATAGAGCATTAGCGACTTAACCTCGCTTCACTTGAGTTCGTCCCTAGGTACGTTTTATCGGTTAGTATGGAATAGATAGATTATATTATATTTATAGCCTAGTTATGATGAGTTGTTGTGGGTTGTATCAAAAGGTGATTTCTCGTGGGAATGAGATAATATATATAGAGTCACTGTCCAGCCCTCCAACTAATATGTAAAAAAAGGAACAAACAAACAAACACACTTTCACATTTATAATATTATAGGATAAATTATCACCATGATAATTGATAATAATTTATTATGAACCTATAAAAATTATATTTTTTTTAAATTAAATTCAACAATAATATTTTCAGAGGAACACTGTACCGCGGCATGATCGATTGTCTTCAGCAATCAATTAAGAACGAAGGTATATTTTCGGTGTACAAAGGTTTCCTTCCGCTGTGGATGAGACTTGGGCCGTGGGCGTTGATCAACTGGATAGCGTTCGAGAACATCATGCTTGCGATTGGAGGACAAACATTTTAAAATGCATCTTGTAATGATACATAACAATTCATTATATAGAAATTAGATTATATGCAACATAAATTAGTTAAAATAAAATGCGCAATATTAAAAATATATTTACTAAAATCGTATGTCAAATAGAACAAATGCACGAATTGAGCTTTTATGATTTTTTTTTAATATTAATACCTAGCTTAAGATATGATGTATTATGATTGATTTTGTAATAAATATCTGTATTAGTCACAAATAGCAAAGAGGTCACAAATCACAATAAACTGTATACTCATTTATTTATATTACCTAAATGTAATAATTTGTTTTATAACAAATTAAAAATAAAACATTAACTTGAAGCACAAACAATAATTGTTAATGCATATAATCTAATTACTTGATAAATATATGGGAAATGTTCTTGGTATTGCTTAAGTAGGATTGCTTACTTAATTATGATTTATAGAAAATTTATGGGTATTACAAATATATGTTGATCTATATTTTTTATATGTTATTAAGTATAAGAGTATTTATTTTATATTGTAAAATAGATATAATTTAACTGCCTATGAGGTATAAAAGACCAAAAAATATAATATTAAACACAAAAAAAAATATATTAACTAAACATAGCGTGTAGTTCATCAGTTATGTTATACCAACCTATAATATATTTACGGTGCGCATGCAGAATAGATAATTATATATTAGTATTCATAGGTATGATGAGTTTTATATCCCTTACTTGAGAAATGATTGATTTCTTATACAAACTTTCATCCCGCTTTTCACCCTCTGAAGGGATGATTTCCGGGATAAAAAGTATCCTATGTCCTTTCATCTTCATACCAAATTTCATTTAAATCGGATCAGGGGATTTTTAGTTTATCCATTACAAACAAAAATACATTTTTTTTCTCTTTTTATTATGTATTTGTATTTAGTACATACGTGTAATGACAGTTACAGATAAATAGTAAAGAGACCAACTTTAGTTTAAATCTCTCGAAATTTACGCACCGCTATTTTTTTTTATTTTATATAATTGTTAAAATAAGTTATGTGACAGATTTTATATATTTAATTTTAAGTATCAGAAAAATGCGTTCCTTGATGGTGGTGCGAGATTGGTTTTGGTACATATGTAGCAGTCACTGTGTTCGAGAATGGTGAAATGTATTTATATTTAAATTATATTATATAATAATTGTTTTTTCTTAATAATTGATTTATGTATAACGTAACTAATAATGTGAAACATCTTATGGCACGTTTAAATGCATATGAAAACTTTTCTATGGCGTATTGCTAGCAAGTCCGGGATCTACCAAAGAAACAACAATAGGTATGTGAAATATAATTATTATAAATATAACATAATTAGTTAAATGTTCGTCGATCGAAAAGTTTTAAACTGTGTAAACAAATGCGAGAAGATAAAAATTAAATCTGCATTAGTAGATTTTTAAAACACAATTTTCTAGATCCATAGAGTATATTGCTACATATATAAATCTAGATCTTAGCGAATAAGTAGACTCGATTACACGCTACTTTACTTTAAACGATTTTAGTTATTCTCTACATTTTTAGATAGCTCTTCCTCGTATACTTTAAAATTCCATTTATATAACTTTTACAATTATAACATAAATATATATAATATGAAGATAAACAATATTATTATTTAATATTTATGTTTATTTTTTAACAACTATATATCAAATTTCAATTTCGTTCAAAAACGTAAAAATGTTGAATATAAGTAAAAGATGTTTCACATCTGCCGGACGCCATACATTCATTTTTTATAAGATACAATCACCAAATATAAAAAATGAAAACAGCAATAATTTAAATAAGACGAGAAATACTTATAGAATTAAGAGCGTCTACATATTGAATGTCAAAAAAATATTAATATTAAAAAATGAATTGTTTAAATGGAAATGAATATCAAATGAACGTGTACACCTGTAATAATGTTTTAAAAATTTAGTATTTAAATTGTATAATATGCTAGTTAGTGCTGGATGCTAATGTTATAAAAATGTGATGTTATTTAAATAGTTTTTATAGTGATATTAAATATTTATTGTTGGACAATCTTTTGTTTCATTAGAAAAATTACTTATGCATCATTGACATGAAAATTCAGCCGTTAATTTTCGATGTTTAAAACTCAGAGTAAATAATTATATAGGCGGAGGCCGCCAAAATAAATATTTACTCTTTTGTATTTTTTAAGCATAGTTCTCTTCTCCTTGAGAGAGAGAGAGAGAGAGAGATTATATAATATTAGCTTTTTTATTTATTATAATACAATCGTCTTTATTACAATAAATCCGTTAGTTATTTTTATTTATAACCATTTATATTCTTATCACTCAGTATACAACATTTAATTTGTATACTATTTTAAAACATTATAATATATAATTTTAAAACAATATTGTTTGGCTTCATGTCTAGTTCTATCTTCTATGACACTCTCTTATTTTATTCTTTAGTCTGAGGTTTATATTATACCTCGATTTTTTCCAGAATCAACGTAAGTACAAAACGTTAAAAGTGCTGTTTATAAATATAAAAGTAATAATTTTCTATGAAATAAACAAATATTGGATAGAGTACGACACAGGCAAGTAAAACAACGGAAATACAATATTAAATTTATTAGTAAAAAATATTATACATCTTCCACAATATTGGAGAATTATAACTTAACTATTTAAATATTTGATTACTAGAGATTAGCACTTTTTCTTATTACATGCCTTCAAACGCTCGGCCACGGCGAGGCGGTGACGTCACATGTGCGTTGCGATACGAAACTTACTCTATAATACACACAGTTAAATGCTTCGCTTGAAGGAAAACCTCGTTCAAAATTATATTTTCCATTACAAATATTTATGTTCTACGAATGATTTACGATTTTTTTTTGTTATAAATTACGTCACCATTATTTATCATTAAAATCTTATTATAATTTGATAAATATTGCGATTTTCGGGTACATTACAATAACAAAAATAAATATCTACATTGGATTAACGAGCACTCAAAGTTATTAATTTGAAAGTCTTCACTATATTGTTAAACGCTAACTAAGTACACTGGCACCGGAGTGCCGCGTTGCGAATTCCTTTAAATTTATAATCGAATTAGTATCTGTAGTCTATCAACTACGTCGTCCTAAAGTTAATTATATTAATTAAACGTCTGTATTACTCTCGACGCGACGATCGTTACGATCGCTTTGAAAATACTATAATGGGTAACGAATTCCATTCAAATCAACACATCAAAAGCCTTTAAGCACGATGTAATATTAATATTTGTCGATATCAAATACGGATCTAAAAAACTCGCTGTACATTCTATATATCAAATATCGTCAATATAAAAACATACTATACGCGTATTCGTTTTGTGCGCAACACAAACATTCAGGGGCTTACGTCTAGAAGGAGTCAAGCTCTAGTGTATGGGATGCTATAATTCACATGGGATACAATAAGATCTTACAATATGACTAACGTACCAGATTATATATTTGTATATTGAATAGGTTACAATAAAACCAAACGAACTTAAAGCTATATCTTAACTAAAAAGTAAAATGGTAAATATTTAAAAAATGAGCACATACACTAATAAGATGATAAATCACATCAATTTGAAAATCTATATATTAGGGAGTTTTCAGTGATATCGATAACTGATTTGATCCCTTTCGTATCTTTATTTCTAAGCATATATTAAAAAAAAAATATCTAAAACAACACTGTGGCACGTATGTATAAGCGACGGACGAACTACACGTTCGCCGGCGAGTTGTCACGATTATATTGAAAAAATAAATTCGTCACAATCATGGCAGAGGCGGACCCGCTCGTTTGTAGAGGGTTATGGCATAAAATGGAACTACGTTGGCACTGTAAAAAATAGACGTGCTTTTTTTTTGAACTGTTCACTTATAGCGTAAATTTGATGTGTGTATGTATGTATGTATATATTGCGAGTGATGTATGACCATGCTGTGTATAAAAATCATAGCCCCCCGGATCCGCCTTTCATTCATGGAAAACGTTGAGTAGGGAAGGAGTGGGGAGGCAACTTTTGTACTGGCAAAATTAATTGACGCGACCAACGCGCTAAGGCGAATATCGCGTTCACTTAACCGTAATATCAAAGTAGCAGGACAAAAAGCACCATAACACTTCAAACATTGCGTAAAAAATAGATTCTAGCTTTCGACGACACCTCGAATTAGGATTTGTGGGTTCAGGACATTAAACTCAGTGGCGGATTTCTTACGACACGAACACGCCCCCATAGTTCCCATTTCACATGTACACTTTAGTACGTTTAATTTTCATTCATTATCTTTGGAATCTTACCTCGATTCAGTATGACGCTACCACATAAATAATGTTTAAAGATCTAACCGATCTGCCGCTCATGCATTAAACCTCCGCCGTCACTACCGTTGTCTACGAATAAGTCACAAGCTTCAATTTCGACTAGTAAAAAAACATCAATATTTCCACAACTAACACATACAACATTTTATAATGCACTTACATAATATGAAAACGAAGCGTGAAACTTACCACATAGCCAAGGAGAGCAAAATATATTACAAAACGATTCACTCCGTCGACCGCCACTGAGTTTACGTACACCGGCACGAATCGTGAACACGTATTATTGCAGGTTAAATATTAGAGTCGTCCATACATTTCGAACATAACATACGAACTCTACCTACGACGACCGACGAACGGGTCGACCGTGATCTATCCACTGACGGCCGATCCCAATAACTTATCTATCCTAGTTTTCCTTAGCTATAGGAACCTGACATAATTTGTGTGTAGCTTATATCAAATTTATATCTCTAATAAAAAACAGATAGATAGTTTACTAAGAACAAGCATGCGTGGGATAATTAAGGCCGAGGTCGGGCCTATATGTGAGGGCCGCGGTTTGTGTCACGAGTCACGCCGGGGACGGCGCCTGGATGGGACGTTATAGAGGGCAGGGCGGGGAGGGCGGGGAGGGCGGGGGGCGCGGCGCGTCGCGGCATATCGGTGAGCACTATGAGTGGTACGCCGTCACGTACGACGCCGGGAACAGTCCGCGCCGATGTGCTATCTCCCCCTGGAAAAGAGAAAAACCGACAATATTTATTAATCCACTAGCAAAACCCGCGGCTTCGCTCGCGCTAAAACTACAAAAAAAAATCTCTAAAAAGGTAGGTGGTACCTAGATTTCATACAAACTTTCATCCCCTATTTTACCCCCTTATAGGATGAATTTCGAAAAATGGTAAAACACGTATTTATTTAATTTTATTGAAGAGCATTAATACCAAGTTTCGAGTAATTCTGATCAGATATAAATTTTTAGATTATGTTATAACGTGTTTTTACATGGGAATGAGATGATCTCCCGCGATAAAAAGTAGCCTATCTGGAATCACTCTGAAGACTTTTCTAGAAATTTTTAGTGTAACGAGAGGTTTCGGTTTCACACTAAAAATCACGCAAATCCGTCAGTCCGTTTCGACGTGAAAGAAAGACAAAAAAATACACAATAAACACAATTTGACATATATAATAATACTATGGATTATGGATTGTACGTTACAAGCAATTCTTACAAGTGGCAAAATAATTTGTTCCCGACGTTTCGACCGGACTGCATCAGCCGTGGTCACAGAAAAACAATCAATGCCCGAAGTCTCATAATGTTATTTTACCTAACTATGAAACACGACACTTTAAAAAGTAACAATGCTGATTTTTGGTCGCTTTTCCCTCGATTTAGCCATATAAATTTTTATTATTTTTTCGTTAATTTTTCATTTTTTCCTCTTTATTAAAAACCTTCCGTGGACCTTAAGGAACATACGAAAATTTTTTTTTGCCGAATTGGTCCAGCCATTCTTGAGTTATGCGCTTACCAACATTCATTTTTATTTATACAGATAGAAGATATGAACATGGTCATAGTAGCATATTTTATAAGTATTCATGATGAAATTAGGGAAAGGAAACTTATATCATTTAAAATTCCGTGTCTTAGATCTGTTTTAAAAACATGTATCGACGACACTTATAAACAGGTAATACATAGTTCTAATAACTATACAAGGCTTCAAATTATTAACATATAAAGCAGATCTTTGACAATATTTTGGTAAAAAAGAACTGAGTCAGTGCTTTGTAAAATAAAAACAAGTTATTATAACTTTTTAAATGTTCGCATTCTTTAATTGTTTAATATACAAGGTAAAATGTAATGAGTTTAGAAATTTTTTATTATTTATTTAATATTGTTAGTGTTAATAATTTACGATGTGTTGTACACACCTGCCACCAATGCTGGTCGGTGCGGTCAGTGACTGTGATGACGTCACCACGCCTGAACTCTAGCTCGCCAGCCTCTTGTGGTGTGAAATCGTATAAAGCTTGCACCAGCATCTGCGAATTAGTTTAAATATTATTTAGTATTAATAAAAGCTAAGGAGATCAGTTATATCAAACTAGCGACTCGCTTCGCAAGGCTACCTAAAGCTAGGTGCATGTAGGGTGTTAATTCAGGCCAGAGTCTATCTGTGTACATCTAAGTTTGTGCAGCTGTTTCAGTGTGAAGAAGTAAACGAATAAATATGTTAGAACATAACACAGCACCATCTAGTTACCATGGTAAGCTACGAGGCTTGTGTTATGAATACCCCCCAACGTGCGTTCACCTTGTCTTTGTGGGGGACGGCTTAGTAGTGCCCAGCAATCCAGCCGGGCGTGAAGCTAAGAAACGCACAGGGAGGTGGCCCACTTCGGTGGGCGGTGTAGCATGCGGGTTGCTCCTGGTACTTCTCTGATAGCGAGTGGACAGTGGAGCAACCCCTGCGACAAGACTGACTGCGTAAGCGATCCTGCGACGTTCCATTAGGACAGGGGAAGGTTTTGTTGGGTTTTAGTGGGTAGTACAGTTGGCTTTTCGAGCCGGTGAGTCCCATATAAACAAACACCTGTATGTCTACAAGTGGTATGCGTAAATGCATTTCCCAACATTAAAAAGAAGCTTGTGTTATGAATACCAGATAGTTAATACACTACCCCCCCAATGAGTCCCACACGTCGTGCGTAAATGCACAACGTTAAAAAAAAAAAAAAAAAAAAAAAAAAAAAAAAAAAAAAAAAAAAAAAAAAAAAAAAAAAAAAGATAAATACATAAGTACATATAAATATAAACACCCATGACTGGAGTACAAACATTCGTGTTCATCACACAAAGGAATGCCCCCAGCAGGAGTCGAGCCCACGACTGCTGGCACAGCAAGTGTCACTATAAACTGAGCCAAACGTGTCGTCAAACATACACACACATATATATTTTCCAACTTATCATAGTGGGATAACTGCCGTTTAGTTTCGTAATTCGTTACATCTGCATCATTCGGACTATTACAATTTTCCTCGTCACTCAAATGTTTTTCAGACATCGTAACTTAGTGGGGCGTGCGTGGTGTAAAGTTTTATAAAAAAGTATCGAGACGAGTTAAGTTAAAATGGGTAACCTAAAATTAAAAACGGAAATATGTTTTATATAGATGGATAGACGCCACTGTCCCAATTTCAATAAAATTTATGATCTTTGAGGTCATACAAAAATTATATATAAAAAAAGCACTTAATTGCCAATTATACATATATAAACTTTTTTTTATAATTTCTTAAAAAGTAAAAACCTTAGGTAATCTATTTTTTTTCTAAACCAACTAGCCAACAGCGTTTTATTTTTAATATCAGAAATGTATTAGAATCGTCATTTAAATATAGAAAACCATAACTTTAATGTCACTAACACATTAAATAATATTTAATCCAATTAATAGGTTTTTTTTAGAGGCGAGGTCGCAGCTGTTTTAACGGGAATATTAAGTGAAAATGGAATTATACACCAGAATTATGTGTCATGTAACTATATAATAAATTTTATATGTGACATAATGGAAGTAATTCTTTTTACCGAGTAAAGCTATGAATAAAAAAAGTGCGAGTCGGACTCGCGCACGAAGGGTTCCGTACCATTATCTATAAAAACGGCAAAAAATCATGTCTGTTGTATGGGAGCCCCCTTTAAATGTTTATTTACTTTTAAAGTGAATATATAACTAAATATTCTGTGAATATTTCAAGCGTCTACCTGTTGCCGTTATCAATATCGAGCAAATACGAGCAAAAAAATCACGTTTATTTTATCATGTATGGGAGCCCCCTAAAATATTTATTTTGTTCTGTTTTTTAGTATTTGTTGTAATAGCGGCAACAGAAATACATCATCTGTGAAATTTTTTCTTTTCTTGTCTATTTAAATAAATCTTTAGTGGGTTTCTAATCTTATATATTATACTAAATTTGAAAATTTCAAAGATCCCTTTCATCAAATCCAGTCGTTTGAGAGAAGTTCAGTGACATACACACTCACAGAAGAATTATATATATAAAGATAAACAAAGTCAGGTTTGTTATAAAACGTGTAACTCGAGAACTGCTCGACCGATTTTTATGATCTTTGTTTTGTTGGATTCCGATTAAAACATCGGAAAAAATGAAAAGAAAAACTGTTCCATATTTAGCGTCAAAACGTACCTAGGGACGAACCTGAGGGAAGCGAGGGTGAATCGCTAGTGTTGTTTAAAACAAAAATATTAAGTAATTGTAAAATATATTACCATGCGCAAAAGTTATTTTAAGAAAATGTTACACTGAAGATTGACGTTTTATCATGTAGTGTGTATCGATTTATTTATAAATCTTTGATAATTACATCAGATACGTTAATAGTGATGACAAATTTAGATTATTTTAGAATTGAAAGTATGCTAACATCGATTACTTAATATTAGTCGTTCATAATAATTAATTTAGACAAGATTAATTAACAATTAGACCTTAAAAGCGATTATGGTGCAACTCAAAATCGTTAGTGTCAGTGCGTACATAGTTTTTAACATTACATAACTTTGCAAAACATAGCGGCATGATAATCTATAATAAGAAAATAAAATCACGTGATATCTACAATCATTGTTAAAAATAGAAACATACAATGGAATAAAATTGTACTCGATACAAATCTTTGCCCACTACGAATTTATTGGTTCAGTGGCTAGAGAATTATTGAAGGAGAATATATGACATACCCACGTTCTGACTGAGTTATTTTTGTTTCTTTATCAGGGTCACGCAGCAATATTTACATGGCGCGGTCAGTTATCAGGGATAATGTATTGAACCAGTATATTTAACTTGTCGGAAAATGAACTGTCGGAACTTTCCCCAATAACATTTATGAACATACCATTTGCTCTCGTAATATAGGAATATTCTTTTACACAAACATACATATTGACAAAAATTTGAATTAGTTAGAACAATATATCTACTAAGTTGAATTCTGCTTAAATAAAAGAAGACCGCTTTTTAATCAATACTTAAAATTAAAAATCCTAAAACTATAATTTTAAAACATTAAAAGAATGTAAAGTCAGTGTAAAAAAACTAAATGTACTAAACGGTGTAAATGACAAATTTGTTTCTATTGTTTGAATTGTTTGAATTGTTTGAATAGTTGTTTCTATTGTTTGAATAGTAGGTAATAATGATATAATATTTTTTAGTAAAATTAAAAAAAAAACATTTTTCATATTATTGCGTGATAAAGTATCATTTAATTTTTTATAAAATTAGCAACAATTTAGCAAATAGGTATTTTTATATCAAATAGGCTGGTAATAAAAGGTGTTTTAGATTAGGTTAGTGGCTAGGTGCGGCCGAGATAATGAATTAATAACTCTGATCAAATTTAATTAAGGCATGACAGCTGAGATCGTCTAACCGTCCGTTGGAGGTCATTTATAGACCAGCTGTATCATAAAACTCTATTAGTGTAAGGGTATACCGACTAAACACGAACATCTAGTACGATAATAATTTGAAAAAGTTATTTAACTTGTTCATTTGCGAAAAAGTTAATGAATTATTACGAATTTAAAGCTTTTTAAAGCTGTCATTTTTTCATGGTTTTACCGATTTTTTTTTATCAAAGAATTAGGCATAACAAAATGTATGAATGTTATTATTTAAAAAAAAAATTAAAATAACAAATCTTAAGAGACACCTATTCCCAAAATAAATACCTTGTATCAATGATGACTCATCGTGGCAAATATGTATTTCAAAATATCCACTCATTGATTTAAATAAGAAAGTTAAAAGACAATATAATCATCTGTATTACTAAGATGCATCTATCCTATTAGCAATATTATTTTTAATGGACTAAATTATATTAAAGAAACCTATTGGAAAGTTATTATTTGTTGTACATAATTTAGGTATTCATAAAGCTTGGGAACTAAGAAGGAATTCCAGAACTCTTTGGTGTTGGCTATTAGCCTGGAAAGAATTCGCGGAAGAATATATCTTTTATAAAATAAACAGATATCTGCGAAGAATTTCTATGTTATACGTCTCGAAGTGTAAACGTTGTGTAAAATTTCATGTATATTAATATAATCTTTAATAATTAGAATTTTAAATTTCGTTTGTTTGTTTTTTTTACATTTTGACGACAAATTTTTTTTGGAGCCAGATAATCTTTTTATACCGGAAAGAGAAAGTGTTACAATGTCAAAGAAAATTAAAAAAATCTGCTATTTAAGTATAATAACGATAGTATTCTGACATCCGTTAAGTATTTATTAATTTTGCCAAAACTACCACCATGGTATACCATCGCTTTGCACCATGATAACCATATTAAAAATTATAAACACGAAAGGCACTTAGGAACGCTGGGTTTCTACTTAATAACATTATTTTACTCATTGTAGATATTTTATGTAAATAGATATATTTGCTAATTTCTGATTAATGTAAATATTGCTAAAGTAAGAAGAAAAAAGGTTTATGAAATTTCATTAAAGCTATGATAAAAAAGTTTTGTTACAGTTTATGGCTATAAAAATTAATCTATATAGGCTGTATGTTAGTTGTAAAGCATTCGAAACGTCGGGAATAAAATCTCGAAATTAGACTGCGACAAAGTCCGTAAAGATACGTCTCATCTAAAATACCTAATAATACAAAATATATTTGCATAAATCTAACAAAGTATTGGGTAAGTAAGGTGAATTATACCTCTTCTGGTGCAACGTCTCTCAGTTTGACGTCTTGGAGGCGGCTTACGGACGCCGTGCGGTGATATTCGACCAGTTCGTTCAGAGAATTAAATTTCACCACCCACAGGAAGAACTTGCTTGACGCGTCACGCAGAACCTTGAAGTGTTGAACACCGTCAGGACATCTGTGGAAAAAGTAAATGTATATTGTTATTTTTTTAATGTATTCGTTATAAATTATTAGTATTTCCCATATTTTTCCCATTTAATTAAATTTAATAATAAAACTCTGTTTATTATTCACAACCATACCAGTAACAACATGCTATTTCTTACACCTTAACGTTGCCCGGATTCTGGAAGAGATCGCCATTTTAGCGATAAGGTCATCTCTTGTATTTTATCTTTTTAAATATTGTATAAGAATTAACCTTTGTATTTTTTAAGTTATTTATATCTAATGTGGCTTCGCGTTTCTGTTAACTTCAACTGACCTCCTTCCCTTGGCATTCGTTTCGCTATCTGGAGTATAAATCAGCCTATACCCAACTTCAAAATGCGTGTAATCTTTGCCAACTCTCTAAGATTGGATTATATTTGTATGAGACAATGGCTTACAAATAAAACATAAAACAACTTCCACTACTTTGTTAATGTCAGTGATCAGTATAGTTAACTTTTGGGACAAAAATCGTTTTTAATAAAATACTGGAAGGCATAAATATAAGACGTTTATAATAAGACATTAATTAAGGAAAACACAGATGTTTTTTTTTAATTTGTTTATAACCAATGAATCATTCGTTGTGATATAAATAAAATGCATAAATAATAAAAACATCTAGCAGGGTATCAAATGAAAATGCGACGAGAAATCGAGACATTTTGAACCGCAGTATTCGTAACTGTAGATACGCAGACCGATGGACCAGAATAGATTATCCAGCGTGATTTGTTTGGGTGCAGATCTAAAATAATAACGTTTGAACGCCGCTTTGTACTCGGCAACACCTACAAGTGTTTATGGAATGCCTTGGAACGCTGATTTGTACGTGTTACTTTTACTTTACAAGTTTAGATTTGATATACATAGTTGTGGTCATAGTAATCTGTAATTTTATTACTGCTCAGTAAAATTGTTATAATAAAATGAAATAATATGTTAGATGAAATTAAACACTTGATCACAAAGTGTTATAAATTCCCCTAAATCTAAAATGTCCAACTACATATCTATCGGCAAAACAGTTGATATTTAGTAAGTGTCTCTATGTCAATACAAAGTATTTACTTGCACTTTAGAAATATAAAATATAAGGCCTCAATATAAATCGAGCAAATATACGTATGAATCACCAATAGACAAAAACTGGTTTCAGCTCTCACGTAGGTTGATTCACTCAGCGCGATACAGAACGGGTTAATACTGTACCGAGGAAATTGTATGAAAATATTCTCTTCGGATATGCTATAATCATGGACATACCATAAGACTAAGCGTCAAATAAAAACTGAGTAAAAACTAGATTATAGAGAGAACTCCTTACAAATTGTTATACATATTATAGATATGCACTACTTTTGAAGGCACGTTACACAAATAAAATGGTTAAATTAATATTTTACTAATTGTTGTCTTAAATATGATTGGTTATTAGTCTTCGACTGTTCAAGATTGAGAATGTTCGCTCTAATTTATAAATTGAATTTAATATGGGAAAATTATTTGACAGATAGGTAATTTTAATCCACGATTTTTATTAAATTTTTCTCTATGATTGTAATATCTTCGGATGATCATTTTAGAGACCGTTGTTGTAATATTAATAATAAATTACAAAGTATTACTACATTTTTTTAATATACAAGTATTTTCAAGTAACACAATAAAATTAAGATACATATTATTAATTAAATAATAACATCTAAGTACCTAGCGTTATAGTAGATAGCTAGATACTATAGAAGCCACAAAAATTCGTGTTGAGGAATGAAACTGCTATAAGTGTTCGAACACACCACAATCAATAACTTCAGACGTTTATACTTTTTTGGTTTCAATATAACGCGTTGACATAAAGCTATGAGTTAATCTAATCATAGATTTATGCTTCTAACATTGCTAAGTTATCGTCCAAAATATTACGTTTTGCTCAAAGTATGGTAAGTAACCAAAGAAATCATTGTGAAACAATAACACTTACTAATGTAATATCAGACAGATCAATTGTAATAAGCTTAGAGAAATGAGCTGCGAACAGTTGAAGTGAGTCATAATATATCAAAGTGCGACCGTAATTTTTTTATCAACTAAATTAACGACATATAGAATTGTTTGTGAGACGGCGATCGGGCGGAGAGAAAAGGTTGATCACCCTATTTCTTACTTTACACGTACCTATATTTTACGGGATATATAACTTATGTTTTCCTTATTATGTGAAATACACTCTTAAACATTTTTTCCAAACAAGTTTTGTGACGCATACGCCTATCGATTACTAATAAATTCTTGATTTCTCCTAACTGGTATGATATAATTTTCATCGAGTGTTTTAAGACAGATAAGATTATATGTAAATGCGATGTAAATTCCAATTTGTTTTAAGAAAATGAATACAATGTTTACTAAGTATAACTAGTATTTTTCTTAACTTTTATACCTAGTATGCAAAATAACTTAAATAAAGATGTAATGTGTAAAATTTCCAAACCTACCTACTATGTAAAATTTTATGTTACATTTTTATAATGTGTCTAACATGTACATAGTATAGTGAAATCACACATCTAAACTAATATTATAAGGATGCAGTTTATTTGAACGCGTTAATCTCAGTAACTACTATTCCAATTTGACAAATACTTTTTGCGTTAGATAGCCCGTTTATTGAGAATGGCTATATTCATATTATAATATATAGTCTATCTATTCCATACTAACCCTTAAAACGTACCTAGGAATGAACCCGAGCGAAGTGAGGGTGAGTCGCTAGTATCTATACATATAATAAAATTGTAATTAAGCCGAATCTGTACATTATATACTTTTTGGAAAATTTTATTGAAATAAACATTGTTATCGATACAGAGGCCGAATCTATAGTTTTTAGATTTTTTGTCTGTCTGTCTGTCTGTTACCGCATCACGGGAAAACTACTGGATAGATTTTGGTGACATTTTTTATGATGATAGCTGGTTATCCGGGTCAACATATAGGATACTTTTTACCGCCGGAAAATATCTCATTGCTGAGAAAAAATGCAAAAACTGCAATGTAAGAGTACACTAATCTGTAAAACCTAAGAATTTTGTTTTTGGTCATCTGAACGCGGGCGGAGCCGCGGCAATGCTAGTACTAACATAAATTCGAATCCGCGGGTGACGTGCGAGCGGAGCCCCGAGCCGGGGATAAAACTAGTCACTACATATTATAAATTAACCCCACGAATTTTCATATGGGTTTCACAAATAGAAAGAGGAATACTCGAGGTGGGTATATCGTTAATTGTCATTCGTTGACAACTGTTAGGAAGTAGTACCTGGGTAATCGAGCTACGCTTGGCGTTTTTCGGAAAAGATATAAAAATTACGTTTCTTCAGAAAATACACCTAGATAGATAAACTTAAAAAGCAAAGCTAAGGCTTAAATTCAAAATTTGATCCAAATCGTTAAATTCGTTTCCGAGATACACGAAATTTTTATAATATTATAAATGTGAAAGTTTAGATGGATGTTTGAATGTTTGTTACTCAATCACGCCAGAACGGCTGAACGGATCTAAATGAAATTTGGCAGAGATAGATTATAACACATAGGCTACCCGGAAAAATGTATGGTTCGCGTGGTATAGATTTGTTTGTTTTATATGTATATGCATAGAATATAATTTGTCTAAAACATATCGCGAAAATAAGCTACCGGTATGACAATACTTGTTTAAGACGGAAAGAATTATCCCTTCTGCAAACTTCAGAGAATATTATAAATGCAAAGTATATCTAGAAATTTTAGTACTAAATAAATTAATTTAATTCTGTCTAAAACATCAGAATTAGGCATACCAATTTTTAACTAAGAGGTGAATGCATTTTATAGTTTTTTTCATCTGTGTGAACAACAGCATTGTTCTGGGAGATTTAGTTTCTTTCAAACATGTTATTATATTAGCATTGTTAATTTGCTAAAACATTCTACCGCTTTAAATTTAAAACTTTCTTGACTCTCTTGTCCCAAAAAACTTAAATAAAGAGTGGAACATATTTGTAATTAGCATTTTAAATTTAAATGAGTTATTTGTCTGGCATTGACTGCTTTGTGAATGATAGCGGGTTCAACCTCAACTTACCTATAATATTTTAGACAAGTATTTATCGTCTACGATCTATCCTCTCTCTCCATCAAGCTCATTTCGAAATATTGCTGATTTCAAAAAAGAGAAGGTGCTAAATTTGTTTTTATTTTTTGTGTGATTGTTATGTGATATCACCAATTTTGAATCGGTTTTCATTTTTAATAAATATGTAGATTATACTTCAAGGGTGATTCTATATAAAATTCAGGAATAAAGCATAAATAAATGAGTTCAAATTTTGAGGCTTAATTTTAGGGTCCTTTGGGACTCTTGTTACATGTTTGTTTTTCTGTCTGTTCTTCATTTTTTACTGCAATAATATGGTAGGTATGTTTAGTTAGGTCTTACTACTACTATTGAAGTCCATACAGATTCAATAAATGATGTTAATTTTGTGGATCACATGGGAAATACTGCAGTACTAGAATCACAATTTAAAGAAAAAATATTTTATAATATTACCTTTGAACAGCATACCTTATATGCCCAAAGACATATGGGTCACTTTGATTACTAAAGTTTCCTGACACCCAACCCTTTTCCTTGTGCGTATGACTCGCACTTTACCAAATTTTTGCATTAAGATAATTTATGAGCTAGAGAATGACATAGGCTAACTTTCACCTCTTATATCAAGTAAGAATAAAAAGGATGATGTTGCTAATCAGGTTATAATTATAATATGACTATTAGATTGATATATTTTTATTAATATTATTGAAAGTAATAATATTTTATGAACCATATATATACTAATATTTTAAAACACTATATTATATTAAATGTAGATAATTGTTTTCTAGTTCTGTGATTCTATAAGAAGAATATTGAATGTTCTGTTATTCTAAAAGAGAATTATGGTACCCATAACAAACCCTGAACTGCCTCCATGGTACTAATATAAAAAATATATTGATCATGATTTCTGGGTTGTTAAGATTTTAAACTAACTTTTACACTCTAAATAAGGAAATCCATAGTTACATTCAGAAAGTCATTAAAAGCTTTGTAACAATGTAATTTTTTAAAATATTGCCAGGTATTTCCCACACATTACTGCATAATTAATATATTAAATTATCATCACCATCTATATGATTATCTAATAAACTTTCTCTCCTCATAAATCAAATACAAATAAGTATGTCAAATATATAAATGTACATATAATTAAAATAGGTAAAACTCACTTTACTGATAAGGAGAAGTCACCAGGGCTTGACTCACTGATGCGTATGAGAAATCCCCCTTCTGGTTTATTTGCTAACAGTTTTTCTGCATCTGCTCTTGTAATTCTTCCATAATACCAACTGTAACAGTTTTTATAGTTACAAATAATGTTAATTTATAGGTATAATAAGTGACTAAATGACAATAGGCAATAATTAATACATGAGGAATTCAATAAAGTATGTAAATTAATTTTTCGTAAAATCAGAAATATGTCTATATATTTATTAATTTATTATTTTTAAGGAACAAAAACTTTTGAAATCCACGAAAAACTTTAGAAATACTTTTAGTTATTACTTAACTATTTGAACTATTTTATTATGGGTGTATGTATACATTTCCTTACCTATGACTTTTCATTTGAATATAGTTACTAGGTATGAGGCCTTCTTTACCGTCTAATTCAGCCCTATACCAATTCATATCGTCCTCCATGTTAAGTATCTGCAATAACAAAAATTCTAGAAGGAATCTGTCACCTATAGGAACAATTTTTCTTTCAAATTAGAAATAGTTTAGTCGAAACTTACTTTGAGGACTTGATTTTTTCTAAAACTAAGTTCATCATCAGCAGTTGCAGTGAAATCGTGTTTTGCTATAGCCTCCATGTTCAAATTAGGCACTTCACTCTAATGTCACTGATCACCGAAGTAACTCACTAAGTATGCAATATTATAACAGCACTTAGGGTCAGGGTAATAAAGTAATCATAATGCATGAATTAAATAATGTGAATATCAAATAGTATTTGTAAAAAGTGTAATTATGCGAAACTATTCTATCCGATCTCAGACTATAATCACATCAGTCATTCAATTTCACACTCACAGACCACAGTTCACACATATTTCTATCTATGCACTTAACTTTCAAGTGTTGCCAAAAATAATATCTTTAATCGAAGTTTCTAATTAGGTAATATATTTCAATTAAAAAGTTATAACTTATTGATATATTTTAAGCGATAGACATATTATAACTTGTTTTAATTTTTATATATATACATAAATTATCAAACAATTGACTAAAAAGATAAGAATCTGGCTTAGTATTTTATTTGTGATAAGTTTACTTTGAAAGCTGTCACCGTTGACAGTTCTTTTAAGTCCAATTGTCTCCCAGTGGCGTTACACGCGTAAGTTAAAAATTGAATTTTAAGATATTTTGATAATCATTTTTGATTACATATATTTGAAAACAGAATTAAAGCACTGCTTACGTTTTGTAATGGATATGTTGAGTATTTTTTTATATACTTTCGTAATGATCCAATATTTGGATGCTTATAAGCCCGGTATGACTTAAGTGTTCATTTCTTTTATATTTGTTTATTTATTAAAGGTTTAGTCGTTACTCAAATAAACGCAACGATGTCGGGAGGATTAGATATTTTGGCCCTCAACGAGGAAGATGTTACCAAAATGTTGGCGGCAACAACCCATCTTGGGTCCGAGAATGTAAACTTTCAGGTGAGTTTACTAATAATATTATCTCAATTTGAGACATATTTTCTATTAATTATTACATTTATTATGATGATAAGAGAATCCGTTCCATTTTTCTTTCTGAAAATATTATGAAGATCAATTCTCCCAACTGAGAGCACAACCAATTTGTCAAATCTCTGTATTAACATTATTTGAGTAGAGTATAATGTTTTATTATTCTTATAGATGGAAACCTATGTATACAAGCGTCGTGCTGATGGTACCCACGTAATTAACCTCCGCCGCACTTGGGAAAAACTTGTGTTGGCAGCGCGTGCTGTTGTGGCTATTGAAAACCCAGCTGATATATTCGTCATCTCTTCGAGACCTTTCGGTCAACGTGCTGTTCTGAAGTTCGCTGCACATACTGGAGCCACTCCTATTGCTGGGAGATTCACTCCTGGTGCCTTCACTAACCAGGTAATGTAATGACAAAATTGTAAAATAGAAGTAAAATAGTCCAAGGAAACATTTTAATTATAACATTTTATTGCACACGAAAATGGTACATAAAAAATGCAATTAAAGAGATGTGCAAAGGCGGCCTTATTACTAAAATCTATTTCTTATGGCAACTGATAGGGAAAGATAAAAAGAAAATATTTATTATAGTAGTATCAAAAATAATTTAAATTAACAAGTACCTATTAAACAAAATTGTTTTTATTATTGATTTGTGTGATGACAAAATTAACTAAGGAACCACTGATTGCATAGTGCAGCTATGATTACAAATATTTCTGATTGTAAACAAAATTACACTTATAAAAATATAATATATTAGATCAAAAATATAATTAAAACCTGTCTTTCAGATTCAAGCTGCATTCAGAGAACCACGTCTTTTGATTGTATTAGATCCTGCTCAAGATCACCAGCCCATTACTGAAGCTTCATATGTCAACATTCCAGTTATTGCTTTTTGCAACACTGACTCTCCCCTCAGATTTGTTGATATTGCCATTCCATGCAATACTAAGGTAAATCATTTATTTTTGCTATTATTAATTTTAAATTAAAATATCATCCTTTTTGTCAGTAAATTGTATAACTAACATTATTAGAAGGCTATATATTTATATAGCCTATCTATAAGTTACATATTTTTGAAAGATCTCAAAGCCTATCTTACATTTGTACTTTAAATATTTTTCTTAGTGGTATTCTTTACATTTCAATATTATTTGTTGATAATGCCACCTCCGGTGTATTTTGTTTGAACCCTAATTAATATACATTTATTTGTATATTTCCAGTCATCCCACTCCATTGGTCTTATGTGGTGGCTCCTAGCTCGTGAAGTGCTGCGCCTGAGGGGCGCCCTTCCCCGTGATCAGCGCTGGGATGTTGTTGTTGACTTGTTCTTCTACAGAGACCCTGAAGAAAGTGAGAAGGATGAACAACAAGCTAAGGAACAGGTATATTTTTTGCCATTAATATTTGTAAACCTTATGTGCATGTGTTCTAGTAACAATAAGTCACTTCCTTGGGTGATAAATATCTGTTTTGGGGGAATCTTTTGGTGAGATTAGGGATGTCATGTCTAGTATGTTGGGATGTCGTGTCCGGGTATGTTGGAGTCCACCTTTTCCGCTCAGAGTTTGGGCAAGTTCATTCACATAGTTTGTTAGCGTCTCTTGGTACTTCTGGCTGCATTGGAAATTTTTTTGCTCAATAGTTTTGATGCTGAGGTCTAGGTACAAGTAACATACATATATTTATTGCTAATACACTGGGGGATACCGAACATTGTTTTTCGTGCTTTGCTCTGAAATCTTTCTAGTATGTCGATGTTGCTATTGCTGTTCCCCATAACTTACCTTATGTACTAACTAACAAATACATACATATATAATTTAAAAGAAATTTTTATTTCAGTGTTTATAGAAATTTTTAAGTTATAAATTTACTATAACTATTTTTTTATTATAGGCTGTTGTTGCTGCCAAACCTGAGGTACCAGCTCCACCTGTACATGAGGATTGGAATGAGCCTGCTGAGCCTGTTGCATCGTGGACTGAAGAAGCTGCACCACCACCAGCAGCCCCTGCTGCATTTGGTGCTGCACCTCCTGCCCAAGAAGATTGGGCTGCTCAGGTAGATTAAAAAATATCTTTTTATCATTTGACTCTTTTCACATTTAACAGATTTAGTGAAGTTTGTATTTAACAAAAAATATTAAAAAAACTGGTGTTGTTTGTTAATTACAATTATTTTTACTCCTAAAAGAACTTACATACTGTTTGACTGTTTGCTATACCAAAACATGCATGTTTAATTAAAATGCGATCAACATTATAGTAATCTTGGTGGACAAAGCATATTAAGATTTGATTTTAATTGCAGGTTCAAGAAGAGTGGGGTACAGCTGCCCCAGCCCCTGCTCCAGCAGCAGCCCCGTCGTGGGGAGGTTCTGCCCAGGATTGGAGTGCTGCGTAAATCTTGGGTTTAATCAAATAAATATATGAAAAGATGACTTATTGTATTTTATTTCTCCATTTTAATATTCATCATAGTGCTGTTTTAGTAGAGAATTAATCATTTTGTCATCGTTTTTACGGCCACTTCTGATCATAAGCATTCCCCAGATTTTCATGACAGCTGTCTTGTGCCAACTGCATCCAGTGGGTTCTCGCGGGCTATGTCGGTGATCTCGGTCGCGCACTGAAACTGATAATCCCTTCATTGTTCTGTGGGTGACCTTGAGTTTTATGTTATATGCTTTTTGTCTGTATGTCCGATCTTTGTTCTCTCTTAATTAGATTTATCTATACTAGTATCTTATAGTATTTGAGTGTCGCAGTGTCGTGTGTTTAGAGTGTAAGTGTCAGAGTCAAGAGTGTCTGATTGTCAGTGTGTCAGAGTGTTAGTTTGTGTGAGTGCTATTATTTATAAACGAATTCAGAAGTTCGAGTGCCTTATTTCTAATACCATTGTGATGTAGTTTCCTGATCAGCGTCTCATGATGCACATAATCAAAAGCCTTGGATATATCACAGAATATCCTAAGTGCATGCTGTGACCTTTTCCAGCCTTTCAAATATTTTTTACTCAACACTAGCATCCGCTGTGGACCGGCCTTTCATAAATCTAAACTTTTTCAAAATGTTTATATTTTTTTTTACAATAAAAAATCTGTGCCTTTAAAATTAAAGATTAGATTTTTTTAAGCAATTTAAAAAAATATATTATAATTCGCTATTTTTCTACTACCTACGATTTTTTTAATTTACGTTTATCCCTTAAACTTAAAACCTCCCTAACTCGGTTAGTTTTGACCGGAGGAAAAACGTCATGAAACCTTTTCTATGTAAAATTTTAAGCTCTATACATCTTTATTAAAACTTTTTGGCTTTTTGGCTAATTTTTACCGTTGTCGAATGTCATGTCATTGCGAAAAACACTTTTGACAATTTTTTTTCAACCCTTGCCGGGGGTTGCCCACGAAAACCTTAACACATTGTTTTTGTATCATTAATACTACATCATATCAAAAATGCAAAGTTGAGTGCCAAAATTTAGATTTCAGACCTTATTTACCGCGTCCAAACTTCCGGTCGCTAACAAAATTCACAAGATCACCCGCTATGCTAATCTGAAGATTACCTGCAAGTTTTATCAAAATCCAGCTGTTTTGGAGTCCATAGGAAACATTTTTTTTTTTTATGGGACTAAGGGGGCAAACGGGCAGGAGGCTCACCTGAAGAAGTGATCACCGCCGCCCATGGACATCTGCAACACCGCAGGGCTTGCAGATGCGATGCCGGCCTTTAAGGAATGAATACGCTCTCTTCTTGAAGGTAGCCAGGTCGTAGCGGTTCCAAGTAACGCACAGGGAGGTGGCCCGCTTCGGTGGGCGGTGGGAGGCGGCCTTCTTCGGAGGGTGGTGTACCATGCGGGTTGCTCCTGGTACTTCTCTGATAGCAGAGTGGACTGTGGAGCAACCCCATGGTTGTGGTGGTCTGCTTCGGCAGACCTGCCGTCGGGGCGTCGTAGTTGAATGCGCAAGCGATCCTGTGACGCCCCATTAAGACGGGGGAAGGTTTTGTTGGGTTTTAGTGGGTAGTACTGGCTTCGCCGGTGAGTCCCACACTTCGTGCGTAAATGCATTTCCCAACGTTAAAAAAAAAAAAAAGGTCGTAGCGGTTCGGAAAGACCGCCGGCGATAGCTGGTTCCACAGAGTGGTTGTGCGGGGCAGAAAATGCCTTAAAAATCGCACTGTTCTGGAACGCTGGACATAGTATACAACATAGTATACACACATCGATTTTTATTTCATTTTATCAACAATTAAAATTTATTTATTGGTCGGAAAATGGAGTCTTTTATTAAAATTTAGTGACACACCGACTGCAGCGCCACCTACTGGGTCCATTTGTGTTTTCAAACCTTCAGGGACCCACTCGAATTTACACAATAGTAGGGGAGCCCAAGAGGGGATTTTCTGTAGTTACTCGAGCGCGGCAGACTAACATAAAAGAGGTTACCTTGCACTCTATTGAGTACTTTCACCATAATATAAGTCTTCTATATAAAGGGGCGCGTTTTGATAAGGTAGAAATACTTGAAACCGTCAGATTAAGGTGTGGTAGGCTAGTCACATCCTGAAAAGTGTCCAATTCAATAATCTGCCGATTTGCACAAGCCGAAGAGGCAAAAATCGACTATAAAGTTTATGATGATTATAGTGTATATGTATATATATATATATATATATATATATATATATATATATATATACTGTACGTGTGTTTGTTAACATAACTATGTTAACTATGTTTTGTTAAATATTTCGGAAACAGGTCCAACGATTTTCATGCAATTTAGTATACAGGGGGTTTCGGTGGCGATAAATCGATCTAGATTAGTTTTGTCTGGAAAAACGCGTGTTTTCGAGTTTTCATGCGGTTTTGTTTCGCATTGTTCCATGCAAAATATAGTCGCTAATTCGCACAATAGGAGATAAGCATCGTGGTCAAGTGGCCAAGGCGCAAGTTTGACATCCACAGGTATCTAGGTCCGTATTCCGGTCGGATAAAAAGTTTTTACTGTTGTTTTTTTTTGTATCTTAAAATTTTTAGTTTTTTTAAATTGTATTTTCGGCTAAAAACTCCGAGCGAAGCTCGGTGGCCCAGGTACTATAAGTATAACGTGACTAGTCAAACGGTCATTTATTTTAAGTAATATATATACTTAAACAACCACAACAAAAATACTTATCTATATTCATGTACATAATTGTTAAATATGTATCCTAAAACCAAGTCTAAGTGTCAAGAATTAACAAGTAAGTAAATTTTTTATTACGTGTTATTAATAAAGGTGTAGAGTAACTTAATTAATATATCATATAATGTAATTGGAAAATTTTTTTATTCATATTCTTACAATTATTATTTTACAGTGATAAATTATCAGCATAAAAATGTAATCTGTATATACAGGTATATTTTGAATTTCCTTGGTTGGACAAAACTCTGAAAACAATTCGTTGAAACGGAATGTTTCTATTGTTTAAATGAAAGTATTGTTTTGCTGGTTTATAATGCCGGTACACTCCGTCAGCTGCTTTTATCCATGTTCCGTTACTGAGAATACCCTGAAAAAAGATAAGCTTGCAAATTGGCAAGATCTTTAAAACATTGAATAATAGACTATTCACTAATGTTAGAAAAGCAACAAAGACTAAGCTCTTTAATAACTTTTAAGATTTATATACATATATATGCAGACTAGCATTGCCCGAATTCATTCATTCATTAAAAATCAAATTCTTAGGTTTTACATAATAGTATACTTACATTGCAGTTTTTGTATTTATCTCAGAAATGAGATATTTTCCTGCGGTAAAAAGTATCCTATATGTTGACCTGAATAACCAGCTATCACCATACCAACTTTCATCAAAATCCCTCCAATGATTTTTCTGTGATGCGGTAACAGACAGACAAAAATTATAAAAACTATAGATTCGGCCTCTGTATCGATAATAATGTCTATTTCAATAAGATTTTCCAAAAAAATACCTAATGTACAGATTCGGCTTAGTTACAATTTTATTATAGTTGCATAGATAACATGTTTATAAGCTTACATAAATTTTAAAATGTTTCGGTGCACTATGCGCGGTATCCGGTCGTATGTGCTCTACACTCAGTCTATCCACGTGCATTAGTTTCGGTAATTCTATTACGATTTCACCGAATGAGCCTCTAAAAGCGGAAGTAAATATATGTATGAATAGGTCGCAGATTAGTGCTTTGGAGAAGTTTTAATTAGTTAAATTTAAATACAACATATTATGACCGAGTAACCATTCCTTGTTTGTATTACATATAGCAGTTAGTAAATTGTAATATGCACGAGGTTTATCTACAATTTTGATTGGTATAGTGTTTGCTTGAAGACCTTAGCTGATACTAGTTAAACTAGTTGTCGGAGTTTGTTTATGAAAGCTAGCAAGGTTGAATCATGAATATTTTTGACTTTAATATCTATTTTATAAAATAACACGAATACAAAGAATTTTATTAACATTTCTCTTTATGCAAAAAATAAGGTAGGCACAAAGTGTATTTTTCATTTACCTAAAAGGCCAACAATCGGAAGGCGTAGGTTTTCGCAATTTTAAAACCGTATCAGGTGGTGGAGAATTACGCCATAAAGGCACTACACCCCAAAAGGCGACATTTCCTCCCCACTCTGTTGTGTTGCTACCCTTCACAGCTATAGCTCCGTTTATGTATCCTGTTTCTATTGACTTAGTTTGTGGGGTTTCTGTAATGTGTTGTATAGATTACGCTGTGTGTGAGCTAATAATAAAATATTTGCAGCTATGCATATTCAAAGTATGCATCAAAAACCTTTCAAAGTGAAAAACAAATAACAATTTGATATTTTTTTAAGAAATAAACCTTAACCGACTTTAAAAGAGGAAAACAAATGAATTCGAGTTGTTTAATGTGTTCATTCATTATTGTAATCTAATAGGGCAGCAACAGTAGACACGAGCATAGATAGGTACTTGGTACAATTTATTATATTCTTTATTGCACTTAAAATATGATACAGAAAAAATAACAAAAATGAACATAGTTCACAAAGGTGGACTTATCTCTAAAAGAGATCTCTTCCAGTCAACCCCTGGATGTGGAAGATATCAGCGGGCAATATAGTGCAAAAAAAAACTAAATATATACTAGAAATAAATGTAATAATAATCACATATACATACATACATACATATATTACTTATAAAAATATATAATACTACACATATATGATACCTAATGTAAAAACTCTACTTATACATACATATATATTATATACATATACATACTTAATATATAAAATATGAAAATAGATTTAGTTGTTGACCTAAACATATTCAGGATAGTAAATAACAATACTTGTATATAATGAATTTCGCATAAATCATCAAACAAATTTACACACAGCTCGCATGGAGGTGTAGATACAATAAGTTCTCGACGTAAATAATAAAGTACGAGTCTAGGATGGTTCTCTATAAAGGATGAGCACTTTCCGTCATGAATAACTTTTATATACATTTGAATTATTCCCTATATTCTTTTTTAACCAAATATTTTATTTGTTAACATTATGAAAGTTGTGTGGTAGGAATTTATTGTCGTGGTTAAAGAATTTGTTATAACTAACCTGTATTTATGTTATGTAACAACAGGGATTTTCGATGTCGAATTGCTCTGTGAAGATAAACAAGTTAATTAATGTATTGATAATAGTGAATGCTTTGCTACATCTGAGAATATTAATGGCTTCTATAATAAATATATACTAATATTATAAAGAGGTAAAGTTTGTGAATTGTGAGTTTGTGACGTTGTAGGGGTTAATCTATGAATCTACTGAACCGATTTAAATGAAATTTGGTAAGAAGATAGTTTGAGACCCTGGGAAGGACATACTTTTCATCCCGGAAATCATCCCTTAAAGGGGTGAAAATGGGGATGAAAGTTTGTATGGAGAATTTACCTAGGAACGAACCCGACCGAAGCGAGGGTGAGTCGCTGGTATATTAATAAGTGTATCGCGAGGTATGTATTAATTATAATATTATTACGATAAGGCTTTGATAATGTATGCATACATATGTATATGTTAAAGGTTTGGCTCAGTTTATAGTGACCCTACCTGCTGTGCCGGCAGTCGCGGGTTCGAGTTTCGCTGCGGGCATTCATTTGTGTGATGAGCACGAATGTTTGTACTCCAGTCATCGGTGTTTACATTTATAATATATTATGTAAGTATTTAAAGTTATATATGTGTAGTGTATAACTATCTGGTATCCATACCACAAGCCTCGTAGCTTACCGTGGATCTAGATGGTGTTATGTGTTCATATCCCAACATATTTATTTATTTATTTATTTAAAGAAATACTATATTTCTGTTGTGTTAGAAGTATGAGGCATATAAAAAATTAAAATAGAAAGAAACACCAGTGTATATCAGTCTAATACTATACTTATAAATCTGAACGTTTATTTGTGTGTGTATGTTTCTTACATCTTCACGTTGAAACAACTGGATAGATTTTGATGAAAATTAGAACACAGATAGATTAAGACCTGGACATATACATAGGTAACGGTATAGATAAAGAGGGATGCTTCCAAGTGAACTTTCACGTCTTTAATAGTAGTTCGATATAACACTGCAACATTTCTAGTTGCATTAACAAACCTTTTAGGCTTACCACGTGTTGGTATAAGTTATAAATCTATCTATAAGTGATGACATATACTATGTAACTAAAATAGATATACAATTCTTAGGTTATTTATTAAAATAGAAATTATTTTTAGTGATGTTTTATTATAGATTTAATGGTCTGGAGTGAGCATTCAAAGGAGCGTGGCAAAAGCTATTTTTATTTCGCAATACACGAGTTTCTGTGGATGGAAATATGTAAATATGTACAATTATATTATAAAGACATAAAAAATGTGTGAAACAACTGATTCAAATCTAAATTACGAAATTCTTTCCTAATAGGAAGCTACATTGCCGGCGCGTGCTATAGCTATTTTTCCCGTTAAAAATGTGTTGTTTATTGTCAGAAATCATACAAATTTTTATTGAAGTCGAAAAAAATGGCTGCTGAATTTCTTTATCGGTGTGCGCTGTCCAAACAGTTTGAAATAAAATGTATGGCAAAAATATACCAAGCAGGATGTATCCGAGCGAAACAAAAGCAAGTCGCTAGTAAATAATAATTTTCTAATTTTTAAAAGAAATAGACATCCTACTAATATTAAAAATGCGAAAATTTGTGAGGATGTATGGATGTTTGTTACTATTTCACGCAAAAACTACTAAATGGATTTTAATGAAACTTTACAATAATATAGCTCATACATCAGAATAGCACTTGGGTATACGGCTCCCGTGGGATACATTTGTTTTTGCTTTATATAAGTACACGCTTTTATTATTTGTGTAATAAAAGATAGATAGTATATTTATCCTTTAATACATGGCGAGAATGATATAATTATTTTATAGACATTTAAGCATAGTTACTGTACAATGTTGCATTTATGATTATTTCCAGTGAATACCTCAGTGCCTGTTCTGCCTGGTTTAATGTGAGAGTTAAATGCTTCATTCTATGGCAGCATTCCTCGTTCACTCGTAAATCGATGTCCACTGAGTGAGTAACGTGTTGCTTTATAAATATTACACAACTTGATATAGAGCTTTAAGGCCTTATCTACGTTAAAATCTCGATATAGCGTAAATATGTGTATTAATAATATTGAATTATTATAGCTGTGTCATGTGTGTGTTGCGACGAAATTTGGCATGAAATCTGGATCTGGATGAAATTTGGCACACAGATAGATTATAGTCTGGAATAGCACATAGGCTTTTATCCCAGAAAAATGTACGGTTCCCGTGGGATAGGTTTGTTTTTGTTTTTCACATAGCAAAGATCGACTATATATTCTATATTAACCGGTAAAACGTACCTAAGGACGAACCCGAGCAAAGCGAGGGTGACTCGTTAGTAATATATAAATGTAAAATGAATCTTATAGACTTGGTATGAATCTATTTCCCATTTTGAACGGTTACCTTTTTGATAAGCTTTAAAAAACCAAGAAGTAGAAAATCATTTCGTTTTTTATTGTATATTAACGCTATATCGTATATTGTAAACGAATTATTATGATATTTTTTTAATGAATAGATCAAGACGTTTAATTTTAAGACCAATTTTCTACCATAAAATGACATACTTTTTTATATGAAAAGAAAAGAAATACACACATAGTGCACGTAGACTTCATATAATTATTTTTATCAAAACAAATATCTGGGTAATTTTTAAAGGTAATAATAAAAATAAATGTGGACTTTTACAAAAATGCGAATTTAATTTTATGCTGAATAAAAAAAATTAAATTCATTGTCCGTTCTTAACAAAGTTAGTCCTGACTAGAATTTGAGTAAACGATTGTTTCGCACTTAAGTTCAGTATTCTCGAGACTAAGTAAAAGTAATTAATGTCGGTACTTACAGAAAGAGATAAACTTAGTTTTCGACAGAATCCTCGTTAGTTGATACATCGGAAGAATATTATTAGGAAGAAAGTATGAAACTAAAATTAAGAAAAGCATCGATGATTTATGTTTTTCCTTCGAATTTGAGGAAGGAATGTTATAAGTAGGTATAAATAGCATTGCCCGCGGCTCCGCCCGCGTTTTGATGACCAAAAACCAAATTCTTAGGTTTTACACATTAGTATACTCTTACATAGCAGTTTTTGTATTTTTTTCACAGAAATGAGATATTTCCCGTTGTAAAAAGTATCCTATATGTTGACCCGGATAACCAGCTATTATCATACCAAATTTCATCAAAATCTGTCCAGTGGTTTTTTCGTGATACGGTAACAGACAGACAGACAGACAGACAAAAATTCTAAAAACTATAGATTCGGCATCTGTATCGATAATAATGTCTATTTCAATAAGATTTTCCAAAAAATATTTAATGTACAGATTTGGCCTAGTTACAATTTTATTATATGTATAGATATACTGTTGAAAATGAATTCTTCGATCGAATATGATCACATTAAAAATGTAATTAGGTCTCTATCTTCTTGGGTTTCGCAGCCAAAAAAAGAAAACGGAACCTACATAATTTCATCATGTCGATCTGTCTGTCGTCAAAATAATTTTATTTGGAGACTAATTTACTTTTTAGATCGCAAAAATAAGTTAATTTTTCATAGTATCTAAAAGAGAAGCTATGTAGTACAAACTCATTTTTGCTGTCGATAAAATTCTGCACAGTGAATACGTAAACAATAAATATTATATTTTGCTTTTAGCCTGTCATATTACAAAAGTATAAACCTAGCATAAATTTATTATTAGTAGAATGGAACTATCGATTTTTATCATTACCTAATTGAAATTGTGAATGCGAAAAAAATAATATTTATTTGCTAAAGTGAAAACGGACTTGGACTTCTCTTTGTTCTAATTAATCACAGTCAGGAGTAGTTTTTTTTTTCTCAAATTGAAATACGATTTTAGCTAAAACTAAGAGAAATAACTAAAAGAGTTTTATTTTATAAGAGTTATAATATATTATATAGTATATATTTTAAAAGAGTTTTAATTTTAGCTAAAACTAAGAGAAATAACCAAGAGAATTTTGTTTTGTTATTTCAAACTACCAACCTATTATGGCTATTCTACTTATAAAATACGAATCAGCTTAACAAACTATTTTATTATCTATCTATACATAAGTACAATAAAATTCTGAGTCGAATTACATTGAATATTTTCTGGAAAATCTTATTGAAATAATAATTATTATCGATACAGAAGCCAAATTTATAGTTTTTAGAATTTTTGTCTGTCTGTCTGGGAACGCATCACGAGAATACCACTGGACAGATTATGATGAAATTTAGAATTATGATAGCTGTTTATCCGGGTCAACATATAGTATACTTTTTATTGTGGGAAAGTACCTCATCTCTGAGAAATCTATACTAAATATTAAAACCCGAGCGGAGCGAGGGTGAGTCGCCAGTTAACCATATAATTATTATGATAATATTTATATTAATAAAATTTATTAGAAGATTTTTTTATTTTAAGTCAGATGCAAATATACTAAAACAAAACAGTCTACAGATAGGTATCATAAACTTTTCATAATATAGTTAAAATTTGAAAAGCTACCACTTTTCGTAATCGATTATAGTTCTTAGTAGCCCAAAGCTATGATGCTAATTATATTTATGAATATGTTAAATCATTGTTTCATATTTCGACTATAAAATACTTGTTTATTGTTGTTATTTCATTAATTTGGAAATAATGAAATGAGATTAATTTAAATGAACCAATATAGAATAATCGAAACTGAGTAGAACCCATAATTTTAATAAATGGTCAATATGCAAATAGATAAATGATAACCACAAGTAAATATACTATACAAAATACTAATTAAATATACTTACTCGTAAATCCCAAAGCAAGCAAGAAAAATATGAGTAACTTAGCGTTTTTGCTTTTGGAGCGCTTAATTAGCGTTTGTTTGTTAATTTTTTTCTTAGCTTTTTTCTCTTCAACGTCGAAGTTTTTTGCCTTATCATCGTTCAAATATTCCCAGATGTTTTCGCGACGAGGATAGAACGGTTTTATACTATGTGGGTTAACTTTTCGTGGTTTTCTCCTTTCGTAAACTCTTCCTGGGAAAATTTTGGACAAATGGACTACTGTTACCTGAGTGTTGTAATTTACTTGGCGTCTGTGGGATTTTGCTTAATTAATGTCTAAAAGTTTTAACTTTGTGCCGTTTATTTAGCACGTACTCTGCGTCAAAGACACATATATACTATACTCAGCTAGGTACAAGTGGCTTATTACAGAAAATGTTTAAACCTTTTCGTGCTTTCGCGATTCTAATTAAAATTAGCCAAGGTATTTTTAACTCATTTAATTTGACTTGAATTGCTTAATACTAGCATTCTGATGTGACATTATCACGCTCGATTATACATTCAAATAATATGCCATAAAATTTTGCCACCTTTTTCCAATTTTTTTGTGATAGAATTTTAAAAGCCCTTGCTTAGCGGTTGTCTACGTTATTACTTATTGTAGATACAAAAACAGACTGACTATTTCAGCCTTTTATAAAATTAATTATAAATAATATAAAAAATAAGTACTTTGGTGCCATTTTGGTATTTTTTAAAATCATTCTATAATTTTGTTTGTAATAACTATATAATGACCCTTAAGACGTCTAAAACCTTAGTCTCTCCCGTGAACATGATTGCTGTAAAGCATTCGAAATGTCGGGAACTAAAAATAATTATAATAAATCCGGGAAAAAACCGAAAATATAGTTTATTTTTAAATTTTATCCTGCTAGTTTCAGCAAGGTGCACGGTTTGAACTAGGCGTTGATGAATCGGCCACGACAAGCAGCTTTATAGTATGTACTCGTACATACATATATACACCAGTTCTTGACTAAGGTCCCTAGGCTGATGTTAGATTATTAGCTAATCTTCCTTATAAATAGGCAAAATGCGAAAAAGTAATATGAATCTTATTAGTGGGTACTTTCAGCGATTAGCGACAAAAAGAATTCTTTAGCTTCATTATACTAGTATAAATGAATAAATTAAAGGAAAAAGGGGCAATGGCACTAAATATAGTGTCAAATATTTTTTTATATGTACTTAAGTGAAATTTGATATTATCGAATATTTATATTTTAGCATGCAGTACGAGTGTGTTGCTGTTAACGCTTTAAAAGTCAATTTAATAAGTTAAAAATATAGCGATTAAGCTTATTTAGGTTATTCTATCTTGTTTAACGATTTAATTAGTAGTATTTCACGTAGTTGCAGTTCCCACAGCAATGAGGTTCATTTAATATTTTGTGCTCCCGTCACTGCAGGTGGCAGCACGCTCCAATTGCATTATCCAAGCTACACGGTTTTTAGGTCGTACAAATTAGGGACGGACACGGTTATAATATCAGTCACAACTATTTAAACGTTAAGTAAATGCTTTTGATGATTGACGTATAAGCATTAAACACACAGAAAGTAAAAAAAAAAATGTTTGAAATCTTTATAACTTATTGAGGCTTAGATTTGTAAATATCGAAAAAGGTTTAATAGTAATTGTAAGATATAAGCATTAACGTAGGACATAATACCATATAATATACCATATAATATACCATATAATGTATATTTACAACAATTATTTTAATAATATGTTTCAAAGAACATTATACTTGTATAAAATATATTATATAGAACAAAAAAAAATCATAAATTATTATGAATATGTGTAGTAAGGATGGTGAATATGAAAAAAATCGGTACAAAATAAAATTAAAAAAAATATATATATATTACGCCTGACGTATTTTCTTTTGAATAATTTATTGCTTAGTCACATAAAGTATGGACGAAAACTAGTTTAGCAGTCGAACAACTCATGAAATATTCTTACCTGGCTGTTTATTTAGTATTGCAAACAAGTTACTGGGTCACTGTAATGCTGACCAAGAATTTCGCGTCATAATATTTTCGATGTTATTGTTTTATAAGTAAAATAATTGTTGCTAAATATATTTAAGATTAAATATTGAATATTTAATACCTATTGAAAAAAACATTCTTTCAATAGGCATTCAATATTTTGATTATAATATAAACTTTTTAAATGATGAATAGATAATACAATAGAAAATGTAATTAAACTCACCCAATGAGCACCATGGTAGTACAAAGTTTCCTAGTGATTTATCATTGGAAGAATTCATTAGAATTTAAACTAAAATTAACCATTACATAAAATATTGTAATATATATATTGTAATAAAAATTTCGCTGAAAGTAATATTTATTTCGGCACTTTCTTTTGTCAACTGAATTTCTTGTGAAGATTTCCCGCCATTTTGGTTACTTTTTTAAAACATCGTAAGGCATAAACGATTACATTTTAATACAATTTTTTTGTGCGTTCTATCAAAAAGATAAGGTTTTAATTGATCAGTAAAGTTGACAAAAATTATATTCGATTGAATTTGCCTATATTATTTTACTATCTCATTGATAATTATTTTGTAGTTTGATACACTTCTTAAGAAAAAATGATGAACATAATAAAAAATTTACATAAAATAAAAAATAAAATAGAGTTAGGATGATGTTTTAAAAAAAATATAAATTGTGAGGTTTGTCTATTAACAAAACAGCAAAATCCGAAGTACCAGGGCAACAAACTATTCCCATTTTCCTGATTTTATTTATTAAGCATATTTTTTTAATTTATTGTCCAAATAGAGGTTGTTAATTTTGTTAATTTCTTTAATTATGATATTTCGCGTCACAATATTCATCATATTCATTTGGCAAAAAGTGACAATCTTTCAAATGTTTGCAGATAAGATTTTACATGTTTTAAAAAGGCCGTGCGCTCAATTTGTTTTTCATTGCACATACGCCGCCAATTGTTGGCTCTGGACACTGCGCACGCAGCAGCGGGAAAATGGGAATGGCAAATGGCAATTATAAACAGCACAAATCACGACGCTGTTATTCACTCTAACTTCTCTTTTTGGCGCGCTCCGTTTTTTAGCTTAAATACAGGTATGGAAAATGTTAATAAATTATATTAAAGGTAATCCAATACCTAAGTTTTATTAACATAAAAGTATATAAAACCTACATTTATTACTTTAAAAAATGTATAGAAATATAGCAACTTCTGATATTTAAGTAATGAATGTATTAAGTAAATAAACAAGAAAAGCAAAATTGATCCAGTTTTGTCACAGAAAGTGTAATTTAAATCCTTTATGGTAAAATGATTTCAATGTCTGACTAATTTTAGTGCCGTTACATTAAATACAAAGCGATAGTTTTTCGTTTTCCTTCATCAAACATGAAATTACAATTTTATAGCGAAGTTTTTAAATGAGACAAGAGGCTTGGAGCGTAACAGTTTATTTAGTCATGTTCGTAGCAACTGTTGTTTTTTTCGTTGTGACAAAAGCTTTTGCTCAGGAACACGATCTGAGCACAGTTACTCCACAATCGCCGCCCATACCTTTTTTAGATTTATTTACAAGTGCCTCAAATTACTATTCTGAACCAATACGGAAAAAATATTCTGATTCCGGATACTATCATAGTTCATGCCCGAAGACAGATACATTGGCGTCATTTGCTAGTATTTTAGCAAGTGCAGCAAAAATTATGTTATCAGCGGCAGTTATAGCCCTTTTGAAAATACTTGCGGGCAAACTTTTCCTGTTACCTTTGACACTTATAGTGCTCGCTAAAATGGGACTAAAAGCTTTGTTATTGTGGCCAGTGATATCGAAAATGATAAAATATCTGAAAAAGAAGAAAAACAAATCTAGAATAATCATGGATTGCTCAGAGCGTCTTGCGTGTGTTTTACAAAGAACTTCTAATAACGGTTGGGGCAGTAACTTTGGTACTGCTGTAACATTTACAATGATCGATGACGTAGAGGAGGACGGCTTCATCGCTAAAACTCTCTTAAGTATTCTCGCTGGGGACAAGGTCGCGGAATGTATGTCAATGGACTGCAACTCTGGGGCTGACATAAGCTGACAATGCAATGTGAACACATACTAAGTTATATCCCTGACTACATTTTGTTATTTAATTTTTTATTAGTTATAACAGTTTTTTTTTAATATTTAATGTCTTAATAAAACTATATTTAAGTACGCGCACTTGCGTACTCTGATACTGATTGTTTTTCAAATTATATATTTGTATAAGAGTTTGTAGCAAGTTGTAAACTAAATATTACTCGTATAATATATATTTCACAGCAATAGAATATTAATACAAAACTTCACTGACTTGCAAACAATGTTAGTAGTTCTAGTAAATTAATCAGTAAATTATTTTAATAATAATACAAAGATCTGAAATATTTATGTTTATTTATAATCAAAATATGTATGTAGGTCAAGATTGTTTACCTTACGTTTCAAATGTGACGTGCTTTCTCATAGGTCACGGACTCAATTAAATAAGGTTGCACAAAGCTAAAGTGCTCTTTAGATAATCAACATGGTAATGTGTTCGACGTTACGAGTGCTTGTGATGTACTGTTATTGGTGCATATTTAGTATTATGGGAGATCCAGTTAAGTACTACTCTCCTTTAGAATACAGAAGTGTGCCTGGCGATATGCGAACGGATACATTATCGTCTCCGAATTCAAATATTTTTCCGCATTCGAATCATGTGAGTCGGCAACAGATAATGCATACTGGCGCGATGCAATCACAGCCAGTGCCAACTGCAGAAAAAGTTCAATCGAAAAATTCAGACTTTTCTTTTAACGAATTTCTCCGTTCGATGACTAGAGAATCACCAGAGGAAGAAAATCAAAAATTACGAGCAAAGTCTCTCACTGATTCTTCTCTCAAAGAACACAACTCTTTATCTAATCTCGACGGGTATCCACGGCAAAATTATGATTCCTGGACACCACAACCTTTCCACGAGTCACCATCGATATATGAGACACCGACAAGCATCGAGCACCAGACAAGTAAAACATTACCAAAATTTAATTTTCTCGAACCAGTTACAGGAAGGATGTCAAGTAAAATGAACGGTTTGATGGGATTGGTACTCACTTTACTAGGGTCCGGATCTGATAATTTAGTAATGAAAGGTTTTAAAGAGGTCATAATAGATGGTATACTTAAACCATTAATGCTCGCGAAGGGCGGACTTAAGGTACTCATAAGTAAGATGACGATTCCTCTTATCTCTTTATTGCTAATAAATGTAGAGGTTTTAATTACAATATGGTGGTTATGGGACGACTGTCCTCAGCCTCAACCTTTGCAGCCTTCGTATCAGTCGCCATCTAATTATAAATACAACGCTTATAATACAACATACCGTTAAGTGACAATAATATTTTAATTAACTTTAATTATTTGTAATAGGTTTATTTTAAAAAAAATGGCAGATATGTACAGTGAATATGATGTATTTTAATTTTAAGTTATTTCTGTAACTATTAGATATATATACATAGGTTAATAATTATAATAATTTTAACATGATTTGTTTGTTTATTGCCCTCATTTATACATTAAGGCTAAAAGAATATATATAATAAAAAATATTTTCCCAATAAAACATAAACTAAATGTTTTGCCTAATTTACATATTATACAAAACAAAAAAAAAATCTTTTGAAATATTTTTATGCAATCTAGTAAATCTGTGTTTTTATTCTAGTTGACGTTACGCTTATATATATATAAGAGTCTGATTGAACAACTTTAAAAACAGGTTTTGTCTGTCTGTCTGATGCATCTCTTATATGATAAAATTAGCAAAAATTTGAAAGACTCATATTCATTGGGAGATAGGATGGATACATGAGGTGGACATTACAACACAACTACTTTTTAATTCAGAAAAAAGACAGTAGTTATTGCAGGTCACTGGTATCATCTGCTCATTAATTTTTATACAGGTATTTTTATAAGTAGACTAGCATATCTGAGAGACGTCCTGCTCTATTTAAAATACATAATTTATCACTGTCACCTATCGGATATTTTTTTATTGATACTAAAAGAAAAAATCTATTACGTTGTAAGTGTTTGTGGCCATAAAATATAATTATTTCTTAATTAAATGGCCTAGCGATTCAATTCAATACAAAATGATTTACAATATACATACTGATTGTGTTTATTATATTCAGACTAAAATGATTCTAAACAATACGTGTGCGGCTGTCATGTCACATGCACACCTTACGAACGATGACTGCCATATTTTTTTACGAGAAACGCTTGGTTTTTCTATATTATTTCCTATATAATATTACAGCTCCGCTTCAAAGACAAGGAAATAAAGTGTGAACTGACGTAAGTTATGTCTCAATGAGATAAAGCCAAATTGAGCCAACCGAGGAAAAATCCTTTATTAGAAAGTCGGATGAGGAAAATGGAAAGAGCTAAAATATCAGAACATGTCATAATATGTTAAAAAAATATATTAAAAATGAGAAGTAATGGAGAGTAATTTTGAGCAAAAATAAATATATTAGAATTCTCGTTAGTTACTTACTATCAAGTAATGTATGTAGGTATATGTACATTTATTATTAAATAATAAATAATATGTACATACATATATGCATATGTAATGTGATTACCTTAGTTTATTTTGTGCCAGTCTTAGTCAACAGAATACTACTAATTGTAAGACCTGTAACCCAAGTTAAAATTAAATTATAAAAAATCTAAAGTTATTAAATATGTTTTTAATAACATATCCATTAATTAAAGATTTACATCCTAATTAAAATTAATTAATATTTAGTGGTAGTTTTTCCTATCATTATTCGTATTTTTATCTTTATTTCTATAGTTCTACACAATGTCTATATCCGATACAGAAATGGTAGATCCTCGCAATCACTGATAGGTTAGTTTGGCTTCACTTTTATTGTTCTATACACTCTGTTTGCCTCATTATTTTGGGCTGAGTGTTGTATATCTAAACATATAATAAAATTGTAACAAAGTTGAATCTGTACATTAAATATTTTTGGAAAATCTAATTGAAATAGACATTATTATCGATACAGAGTCCGAATCTATAGTTTTTAGAATTTTTGTCTGTTTTTCTGTCTGTCTGTCTGTCTGTTACCGCATCACGAGAAAACCACTGGACAGATTTTGATGAAATTTGGTATGATGATAGCTGGTTATCCGGGTCAACATATATAATACTTTTTACCGCGGGAAAATATCTCATTTCTGAGAAAAAATACAAAAACTTCATTGTAAGAGTATAACTAATACGTAAAGCCTAAGAATTTGGTTTTTGGTCATCTGAACGCGGGCGGAGCCGCGGGCAATGCTAGTTTTTAAATAAATTAGCTATTCAGAAATAATAGCAAACACTATAGAATTAAAATAGCGGATATTGCCGAATTATACCTTAGAATAAGTGTAATATATAATAATTAAACATATTTATATCATTTTTATTATGCCTATATATGTATATTGTATATATATATATATATATATATATATATATATATATATATATGTATAAATAAAGGTTATTATGTTTGAGGACAAACTGTACAGTATCTAGGTAATGTAAGTGACTCAATATGCAGTGCAAGCAACTGCACACCGTTTGCAGTTACTAAAATTTGATTTCAACGTTTGTGTATTATGTAGATGAATTTTAGATTTCCGGAATGCATCTACAAGTGACATAGAGCTAAAATTTTGCTAGGTTACGAGAAACGAAGATTTGTGTAAAATAATATACTTTCTTCTATACAACGACGCTATTAAAACAGAGATAAGACGAGTACATATTTTACTGAAATGAAGAAAATATTATATTATTTCGGTCGATGTTGTTGCGTATGTCTTTATTGATGTACATTTTGGTCTAGTTAAGACAAAACACTGAATTTGGGACACCATTTTATGTTTCTGCAGGTTCCTTAGGAGTGGGATCCTATTATTAAGCCTACATTGTCCGTCTGTCCATTTCAGGAAACCGGAATAAGATTGTTTATAAAGAGTGTCTTTGGTATTAATATTTTTTAACATAATCATACAAAGACCGTAAAACATTGTTATTTTGTGAACTATGTATATTGTTGTTTTTTTTCTCTATCAAATATTAAGTGCAATAAAGAATATAATATTTTACCTATCTATACTAATATTATAAAGAGGTAAAGTTTGTGAGTTTGTGACGTTGTGGGGGGTAATGTCTGGATCTACTGAACCGATTTAGACGAAATTTGTGAAGAAGATAGTTTGAGAGCCTGGGAAGGACATAGAATACTTTTTATCCCTTTTTTTTTTTTTTTTTTTTTAACGTTGGGAAATGCATTTACGCACGACGTGTGGGACTCACCGGCGTAATACAGCCAGTACTACCCACTAAAACCCAACAAAACCTTCCCCCGTCTTAATGGGGCGTCGCAGGATCGCTTGCGCATTCAACTACGACGCCCCGACGGCAGGTCTGCCGAAGCAGACCACCACAACCATGGGGTTGCTCCACAGTCCACTCTGCTATCAGAGAAGTACCAGGAGCAACCCGCATGGTACACCGCCCCCCAAAGAGGGCCACCTCCCACCGCCCACCGAAGTGGGCAACCTCCCTGTGCGTTTCTTAGCTTCGCGCCCGGTTGGATTGCCGGGCACTACTGAGCCCCCCCACCACGACAAGGTGAACGCACGTTGGGGGGGGATACTTTTTATCCCTGAAATCATGGAGGTTGGGTGATGGGGGTGAAAATGTGGATGAAAATTTAGTATGGGGTATCAAGCTAGGGACGAACCCGAGCGAAGCGAGGGTGAGTCGCTATTTCCTAATAACTATAGTTTAACAAAAAGTAAAAACACGCTTTTACAATCTGTAGAGTCTCTTCAAAACGAATGAAACAGCCAGCTCCTGGCTCGATCATTACATTAGTTTGATGGTACCAAATTATTAAATTCTATCCATCCCAAACCATCAGATTATAATATGCCTACAAAGTTAGATACTACAGTTAAAAGTTCAGTTAATCGACTTCCAAGACAAATTAGCATGTATTGATAGCTAAGTATGGAATTACGCTTGAGATTAAGCACTATTTACACATAAGAAATAATACATTGTGTGCTTACGTCATTTCATTATAAAGGTTATTGACAAGTTATTTGATATCGATATAATACTTATTAAAATTATTTTTAAAACATTTTTACCAATACATTCTTAGTTTTACGATAGTGTTCAAGTAATGTTCGTTGACTATTTTTTATATGAATATATTATGATATGTATTTAATGTTTCATTTTAATGAAAGATCTTTTTATTATGATTAAGTATAACCAGATATTTTGATTATCTCAACGTTAGTTAAGTTAAACGACTGATTTATTATATGGGCCTTGTATGGAGCCCTGTTTCTTGCAAGGCCATTTTGGAAGAGTTCAATAAAACTCAAATTTAATAAATAATCATTAACTCTGCAATAAAATAAAATGTTTTATAAGTTACATTATAGAACAAAGTGTTACTTAATAATTTGTTTGTTTCATTTATCCAATAAATAAAAGAATTATAACTCTTTATTTGTTAAGGTGGCCTTCCATGGACCCACCCACCCACTTTACTATGGACAAATCGGATAAGATCTTTATTTATAATACTAGCATTGCCCGCGGCTCCGCCCGCGTTCAGATGACCAAAAACCAAATTCTTAGGTTTTATTAATATACTCTTACATTGCAGTTTTTGTATTTTTTCTCAGAAATGAGATATTTTCTCGCGGTAAAAAGTATCCTATATGTTGACCTGGATAACCAGCTATCATCGTACCAAATTTCATTAAAATCTGTCCAGTGGTTTTCTCGTGATGCGGTAACAGGCAGACAGACAGACAGACAGACAAACAAAAATTCTAAAAACTATAGATTCGGACTCTGTATCGATAATAATGTCTATTTCAATAAGATTTTCTAAAAAATATTTAATGTACAGATTCGATTTAGTTACAATTTTATTATATGTATTTAGTTTTTTAATATTATATGTATTAGTTACAATTTTATTGTATGTTTTAGATATATTTTATTAATATTATAAATGCGAAAGTGTGTTACTTGGTGTATTTCTTTCGCTTAGCAAGACAAAAACGTAAAAATTCTTTGAGACACTTTATTAACCGGTCGTATAGCCAGCCTATCTCTCTACTTAGGCTGCTTTTCATCTACTAAGGACTCGTGAAGTATGTATTAGGGATCTGAGAGAAGGTTAGGGCGGCACACTAGAAAATGATATTCTTGTTTAATTTATCGTCTTATTAATTATTACTTCTATCACATTATAAATATGAAGATACATTATA